TTGATGAAGGAGAAGATGTAATCCCAGCGGCCGCAGTTCAGGCCGGAGCTGTGGTCCCGGAGCTCGTAGATGATCTCGTCCATCTCGAAGGCGGCGGTGATGGTCTCGATCAGCACGGTGCCGCGGATCGTGCCGCGGGGCATGCCGATGTAGTCCTGGGCGAGGTTGAAGACGTCGTTCCACAGGCGCGCCTCCAGGTGCGACTCCATCTTGGGCAGGTAGAAGTACGGCCCGAACCCGCGGGCCACCAGCTCCTTGGCGTTGTGGTAGAAGTACAGGCCGAAGTCGAACAGACTGCCGGAGATGGGCTCGCCGTCGACGGTGAAGTGCTTCTCCTCGAGGTGCCAGCCTCGAGCACGCGCGATCAACGTCGGCAGCACCCGGTCCGTCCGCAGCTTGTACTCCTTGTTGCCTTGCTTGAAGTCCACCTGCCGGCGGATCGCGTCGTAGAGGTTGACCTGGCCGTTGATCATGTTCTCCCAGGTGGGGGCGCTGGAATCTGTTCATCCGAGTTAGCACCTTTTCAGATGTTAAAAAGTGGGGGCAGGCGACGTACCCTCGAAATCCGCCATGTATGTCCAGACGTCCGAGTTGAGCGCATTCACCACCATCTTCCGGTCGGTGGGACCTGTGATCTCAACGCGACGGTCGACTAGGCCAGGGGCCGGGGGAGCGCCCTTCCAGGCGTCATTCTCGCGGATGTGCTTGGTTTCGGGGAGGAAGTCGGGCAGGTGGCCCTTGTCGATCTCAGCTTGTCGGTCGATGCGGCGTTGGAGGAGAGCTTTGCGGGTGGAGTTGAAGGCGCGGTGGAGGATGGCAAGGAAGACGCAGGCGTCTTTGGTGAGGATCTTGCGAGCTTCGGTGCTCACAGTGCCCAGGATGGCCACGTCCTTGAGCTGGGCCTCGGATTGGCTCATGGTGAAGACTTTGGTAACAGAAACTTGACACAGATCTCTCGTTGGGTCGACAGGGGAGAAGGAGGATGGAAGGAGTGTAGAAGTAGTATAGATCACAGCTTAAGCACATAAAGTTCCAGCTCTGTGGTAGAAGGAGGGACAGGCAAAGTATATAAGTTCCCACCCCCAGAATCTTATCGGAGGGCAGGAGGTGGGCTCGACGACGTCAGAATCCACGGACAGCCGCGGCCCATGGGAAGTTCGGATTATCCATGGTCGCGGGGTACCGCCGATAAAGGAGGGCAGTCACGGAGCATGGTGGATGGAGAGATACTTTTTTGGCAGCAATTGCCAGCAATTGCCATCAGATAGACTCGGGAATCAGTCTGGGTTGCACCCACTCGCACCCACTGTAATCACCACGTGACTTCTCCGCGGGGAACTGGTCCTTTCGGCCGACTGGACCCGATTGGAGCTGGGGTTCCCCGCCCGGCACGCGCCGGCCACCGCCTCCGATTCGGGCCTTATCGTTTGTGATGACTCGATACATTCACCTCTCCCCTTTGATATAGCTTGAACCCCCCCCCCGAAGCTGTGATATGCGAGGGAAGTTGAGAAGACGCAGGGTGTACGGAGAGATGGTCTCTCGTCCGAAAGCATTGGCATCAACTAACTGGACCAACCAACTAACGCTACAATGTCCTAAGACCGTTTATCAGTTCTCTGCGCCCTTTTTCCATCCTACCGAGGATGTGCGCCCTCGATAAGCCTTCCTCATCTCCCCGCATGTCCGAACAACCTCCAGCCAGCCGCGGCTGCACCAGCAAACCATCACCTCGCTGATGCTGGTACACACGTCGATCATGCTCGGTACTTTTCGGAATCCCCCACATCCACCTACCGATCGATTCCGATAAGAGTCACAGCTGTTTTCGCAACGACGGATGCTTTGCAGCGGTCTTCGCCACTCTCTAGCGAAAGAATACACCCTGAAAACTCCATCGAAGAAGTCTTCGGCTTTTCAATGAGCGCATAGAATAACCAGAAGCTCCAGAAACTTCTTCCCTCCCAACCCCACAGGAGATGCGACCAGTCAGATGCCATGTTCCAGCTCACGGACATGTGAATACATGTGATTCTGCGGCATACTTCTGGGGGCGTTCTCAATGAGTAACCGGGCTCAGTATCGGGGGTGCCACGCGCCATTTACCCACCAAGGGTTTCGGAATGTGGACGAGACACTTTCGGTCCATGCAGGACAAGAGTTCGAGCCTACACGCAATCATGACCCAGCGCTAATGTGTAGCTCGGGGGTTGGGCGTGATCATGCTACTCATAAATTCTCCGACGATTGTTGGATGGATTTATGCCAGCACTGCCGTGTCTACACCTCTGCTCACTAACATCGGAGCTATGACCACCTGCGAGCTCCAGTCGTTCCCCCACTCTCCAGCATTATTTGCTGAAGGGGGTGCGTCATCTGGCTTCTCGTGGTGAAGCTCAGACCCCCACCACTAGCAATGTGGAAGCGGTTAATGAGGACCTCGCGCTCAGGTATATTAAGCTCTGTAGAACTGCGCACATTAGCATCCCAGTCAGCTGTGCTTAGACGGACTGCCCCAAGACCGCAACTTACACAGGATATTGAATAGAATACAAATAATAATCGCGAAGGAGAGCATACTATCATAGGCACCTTCGACAAGACTCGGCGTCTTTGTTTCCAGAATGGAGATCTCGAATCCGGGGTTGTGTCTAGAATTGCCCATGGCTACAGTATCGATCATTGCCCTTTGACGCTCAATTGACTTTCTAGCTTAACAGGAAGCTCCCACAGGCAATTACTGATGATTTTCATGGATGAATATATGATCAAACCAGTCGCAAGCGATGTCGCCGAACCTGAATGAATTGTGCTGGAAATATAACGTTCTCAGAACCTATGATTCTACTCCATAAGGATCGGAGCACGCTAGAGGAAATATAAGGCATGTCATAGTAGAGATGGTCCTGTAACTATACTGGTAGAACCTACTTGAGGCCTTCCAGAAGGCGGAAGCACACTAAATTTAGCTCTAATCGGCTTCTGGCGGGGAACCTACTGACTCAGCCGGCCTAGGGTCCATCGCGAAAATCACGCGGGGCGATCCTTTGTTTTCTCTGCAACCACATCAACCTCAACACCAACAGTCCATGCCGGTCGCGTGCGTGACAGACTCTAGAACTATTTCAACATGGGATCTAAGACCCCCGAGGGACATCGGCAGGAACCCGATGGTATGTGCCATCTCAACACTCTCCAAGAATGAATCCTTGGATCTAACCTGACCGTGTGACTCAGCCTCCAACTCCTCCGACTTCAAGCCCGCCAATCCTCAAATCAAGGCCTCTCGAAACGGTTCCGGCTCCGCGGACTTGGATCGAGGGATCATCAGCGACGATGATGACGACGACGACAATTCGAAGGAAGAAAATGGGGTGAACGGAGCCTCGACTGCTGGTACGTTCGCAAACCGTCGACCCTCTGAATAAGTTTTAAACGAATATCGCTGACACGTTGGCTGCACCACCAGAGAAGAAACAAAAGAAACGCAAGAGGTCCAAGAAGAAGAAGAAGACCACCCCCACCGCGCAGACCACCCCACCGCGGGTGCCGCTCTCCACCCTCTTCCCGTCCGGCCAATACCCCCGCGGAGAACTCGTCCCCTACGTCGAGGACGAGAATACCGCCCGCACGACCGACGAAGAACTGCGCTATAACTCTCGCCTCTGGGACGATGACTTCCTGCCCGACTACCGCAAGGCGGCCGAGGTCCACCGCCAGGTCCGGCAGTATGCCCAGCGGGAGCTCATCAAGCCGGGCGCCAGCCTCACGGCCATCGCCGAGGGGATCGAGGACGGCGTGCGCGCGCTCACGGGCCACCAGGGCCTGGAACCCGGCGACGCTTTTCATGCGGGCATGGGATTCCCGACCGGCCTGTGTCTGAACAATGTGGCGGCGCACTGGACGCCGAACCCGGGCGCTAAGGATGTCATTCTGGATAAGAACGACGTTCTCAAGGTAGACTTCGGGGTCCATGTGAATGGGCGCATTGTTGACTCCGCTTTCACGGTCGCGTTCGAGGACAAATACGATAATCTCCTGACTGCGGTCAAGGAGGCGACCAATACTGGTATCATGGTATGTCCGACGGCTCCGAGAACACAGGCCAAGCGACTGATTTGACTAGCATGCCGGTATCGATGCGAGAATGGGCGAAATCGGCGCAGCCATCCAGGAAGTGATGGAAAGCTACGAGGTCGAGATCGACGGAAAGACCCGCCCCGTCAAAGCCATTCGAAATATCACCGGGCACGACATTCTGCGCTATCAGATCCATGGCGGGAAGCAAGTCCCGTTCATCAAGAGCAACAATCGCGACAAGATGGAGGAAGGAGAGGTGTTTGCCATCGAGACCTTCGGAAGCACCGGCAAGGGTTATCTAGAGGACGATGTACGCAATTACCCTTTTTCAGGTTCGAGTCAGGTTCTAATAACTTCTCAACAGGTGGGTCTCTACGGCTACGGTAGAAACACCGACGCTTCCGGTGCCAACCTGCGTCTCGCTTCTGCGAAATCGCTGCTGAAGACCATCGATTCGAATTTCGGGTCGATCGTTTTCTGTCGTCGCTATCTGGAGAGACTAGGGGTGTCCCATTATCATCTCGGGGTGAGTAGCTCCATGGCCGTGGGATTGATTTGCATCTGTTACTGACGAGTTCCTCAGATGAAAAACCTGATCGATAATGGTATTGTCGAGTCCTATGCGCCGCTTGTCGACGTGAAGGGTTCCTACACCGCCCAATTCGAACATGTATGGCTTCCTTTTGTTATATGATGCGCCTTGGACCGAAACTAATGTGCTCTAGACCATTCTCCTCCACAGCGGCGGCAAGGAAGTCATCAGTCGTGGTGACGATTACTAGGTTAGCCCAGTCAGCCATTTGACATCTATAGACGATGTCGCTGACGTTTTGCTTTGCCTGTTTGCTTTTGACTAAGTAATGCTTCGTTCAACCCTTCGATGACCTCGGATTCAACATCCGTCCAGGTACTTGTTCGCTTGACTTCTGATTACTGCATTGTTGTTGCTTTGGGTACGCTGTCACAATTACGACGTAGCCTAGTCCAGTCATTACCATTTCAACTGAATTGAACGCCAATTTACCCTTCAATCATCTCTGTGCAACATAGTATAGTCCTGTGTACCACACATTTAAAAGTTCCCATGTTTGATATTCGCATCGTCTCCTCCATGAACTTGTTGCATTAACACGGCTCAATCCTGCTCGGCTGACGCGAATAGCTCTTCGATGAACTCGCTATGGTACGACGACCGCACCGAGACCGAGGCCTTGAGGTCAACCGGACCCGACAGCGCACTCTGGAGCATCTTCAGGCTGTCCAACTCGTACCTCTCGCCGGTGCCTTCATCCCGAAACTGCGAGAACTCGAAGGCCCAGAGCAAGCGGCTGATGACCAGAAACAGTGATCGGGGCGCCGGGTGCTGGCCGGGACACGCGCAGCGAGCGAAGCCAAAGGCCGCCGCGGGCGCGCCGGGATTTCGCAACCACCGTTCCGGCGCGAAGGCGAAGGGGTCGTCGAAGGCGGCGTTGTCCTATTTCTCTCAAGACCTCCACGGCAGCATCAACGTGAAGCAATTGGAATATACCTGCCATGCATTGGTGCAGCGGCACGAAATTCCGCGTGCTCGATTCGTTGCCCCCCACGGCTCTGTCCAGCAGGTGATTCCCAGGTATCGAGCAGAAGATGTCCGATTTCAGGTACATGAAGGGTTCGGTGAGATGCACAATCTCGGTCCCTCGGCCAGTCTAGTTCATACTGATCCTCCTTTCTCCTTGAATGATGTTCTGCTTCGTTTCGTACTTCCTATCGTTCACCCAGGCCGTATTCGTCTCACGATGCGAATCTCTCATGCCCAATATGACGGACTCAGCATGCCTTTCATTCTCAAGGACCTGGACGCATTATACAACGGGATTGTCTTGGCCCCTCCGGCCAGGTTCTCGGAATATGTGAAGGAAAGCGAGTGACTCCTTTCCCAAAACAAGCACGCCCAGCAGTTCTGGCGTCAACTGCTGCAAGGATCCCAAGTCACCCCCATCGTGGCACGCAGCAAGCTCTCCTCGCACTCGTTACAGAAAGACTATCCCCTGGATCAGACCACAATTCGGACTATTCGACTGTCGCCATCAACTTCCAACGCCTCCACCACCCCGGCCACGATCACCAAGCCCGCCTGGGCACTCGTGCTCGGCCGTCTCTCGCAACATCAGGACGCGGTCTTCGGTCACTTGACCAACACTCCACCCAGCTTGGTTTATCTGCCAGCCATTCATGAGGTTGTCGGTCCCTGTCTCCATGTGCTTCCTGTGCGCGTCCAGCTCCAGCCGACTACCGCACGAAGGGAGCTGCTGCATGCGATTCAACAGCAATATATCGGCGCCTTGCCCCATTCTATGTTAGGCTTCGGCGAGATCATCGATCACTGCACACAATGGCCGCCAACCACCCGATTGAGTTCCATCCTGCAATACCAAAACCTGCACCAAGACCTGGACAGTGTTCTTCTTGGCGGGGACACGGGGAGTCTCGAAGCTTATGTACCTACCTCTGACGCTGCCGACCTATGGATGATGGTAACTCCCAGGGACAATTGTGGTGCCGAGAGACTGCATGAGATCAAACTGAGCTACAGCGCCGCAACTATGCCCTCTTCCATTGCAGATCGCATTCTCGACGATCTGCCGATGCAATTTCGTTCCTCCAGGTCCCTCACGCCTCCGATGATGGATTCCGATTACATACCTACTTCGACCAAACCGCGCCCGAATCCCCACCCACCCTTCCGATCGACAGGCAACTCGCGGAAACCGGCTTGCCGCCACGCGCCGCAATCATCGCCGCCGTCAAAGGCATATGGGAGCAGGCGTTTGGCCCGCAGTTCCATCGCTAGAATACTACAGTGCGCAAGGAGGAGTGCCGGACGATGCTGCACACCCCATTTGGGCCGGATCCGGTGAGCGCCGCGCAGCTGTCACTGCTCTTCCAGCAGGCCGGGGTGGAAATCTCGCCGGCAGAGGCGGCCGAGTATCCGCCTATCTTCCAGCAGAGCTTGCTTTGGGGCTACAAGGTGCGAGAGGGAAGTTGCTGAGTCAAGTTTCAGATGGTTTTCTGGGAACATAGATTAATGGCTTTGTGATTCTCCGCGGTCTCGTTCTGTGTATGTGCGCGCGTGTGTGTACGCATGCTTCGCTCGTTGAGACGTTGTGCGTTAGGGCACCATCCTGGATTCCGATTTGATTTATATTCAAGGGGGCTCTACTGAATCCATCGACTCCTGTCACTCTCTTTGCCTGCTCCATGCTAGCATCTTAGTTAGCAGCCTTCTTCCTCTCGCGGTCAGGCTGCTTCTGCTCGTCCACCCCGTTCTCCTCCTCGGCCTTCTCCATTGCGCGGCTCGATTTCTTCTCCCTCGGCATCTTTCGACCCACGACGCTGATCTCCATCTCGTCCTACAGTTCCACGGTCAGACAACAGAATCCAAAATGAAGGGAAGTAAGACCCCACCGCGAGATCCCCGGGCACAATCAATCCCGGCAAGCCCCAACTCCGGCGGAGGCGCGGGTTCTGGCGCATGTAATCGCGATAGGCCGGCGCCCCAGGTCGCAGCACATTGTCGGCAATGACCAGGGCGCCGTCTGTGTTCAGAAGCCCCAGTTCCTCGGCCACTTGGACATCTGCCGCGTACCGCGCCTCGTCGTGGTCCATGAACAGCAGGTCGATGCCCCGGTCGCCGAGGGTTCCTTGCCCGTGCAACCGACGCAGGGTGTGGGCGGAGGCGCCGACGACGACCTCGACGAGATCCTGCAGGCCGGCGAGGCTGACGAGATTCATGGCGACGGAGGCGACCAGCGGGTCGATCTCGATGCTGTAGACCCTGGGCTTGTCCTCCTCGCCCGCCTCAAGATCCGCGTGGTCCGGGTGGTACGGCGTCCATATCTCCTTCAAGATACTTCCGAACAGGATGGCAGAGTACCTGGTTCGGTCGGCAAGCCACTCCCCAGTTAGCATGCTCTCTCCTTGATGGCCATGACGAGCACCCCTCGACTTACCCAACATATCCCCCCAACTCCACCACCACCCTGGGCCGGTGCTCGCGCACCAGGACGGCCAGCTTGCCCGCTTTGTCCGGACCGATGTTGATTAGAAAGTCCTCCTGGGCGGCGAACTCGTCCATCGCCTCCAGAATGGCGGCTGGAGAACCCCGCAGTTTGGTGTCCAGCTCGGCATGGGCGTAGATGTGCTTGAGAAGCGTGATCTCGCGCCCGTCATGAGACTCAACGATCTCCGACTCCTCTAGCCCCGCCATCTTACGGAGGGACGGGTATTTGGTGAAGATGGGGGGTTCTTCGGTGTCGGGCATTCTTGCAGTGTTCGGGGCAGGGGAGAATATTGGTTAAAGGAATTGGAATTGGATGAGATGAGAGAGTTCGGGGTTGAAAGGGGGGGGGGGGGGGGAGGTGGGTTCTTATCTAGTCGGGGGCAGATCAATCAATTGAGGTGGTGGAGGTATGGTATGGTAACTGGGCTGCTGTTATCTCTTCTGTACTGTAAAGTGAGGTATCGTTCTGTATTTTGCTTACATGCAAAATTGAAAGATCGTTTTATGGAATCTCCATTGCTAGGCCTATTCATCATGTATGGACCATGTATGTATGCACTGTATGGAGAGTCTCTATATCCTGGATTCTCACCTCGGCCCTACATGACCACCACGCATTTGGTGTTGAGTTTGGACCAAGTTTCTGTCACCCGGGCAGTAGTGGATCGCCCTGGCACGCAGTTGAGCATGGGACTCGCGGGCATGCTTCTGCTGCCAGGCCAGATATTTCTTATGATGCTGGATGCGCCGGAGTAGATGCAGGGCCCCTGGCTCTCTCAAACTTGAAGAGAAAACATCCCGTCCACGATTCGGTGCATGCTTCCGTGTGGTATTGCTTAATCGTCCGGGAGTCTGTTAAATTTTAGGATATTATAGACCCGCGAGCATGGTGTCTAGAATATGAAAGCAGCTGTCCTTCTTTTGACCCCCCTTGGACTTGTGGCATGTCTTTATTTTCCGGGTCTAATCCAACAAAGTATTTTGTTCACCCACAAGTGGGTGGGATTGCTGGGCTATGGGTGAGTAATTCGCTTCGATAAAGAATCTATGCCGTTGCAAAGACTGCCTCTGTTCCGGATAGCCCACCCCTGAGATCTCAAATCGCTGACAGTATGGCTTATGGGTAGATCCTATGTCACGTACACTAGGTGTCACGTACACTAGGTGGCCTCAAGTATGTAGAGATGTCTCGATGGAATATACCATGCTGCTTCAGAAAGATTCTTTCGACGGGTATACGGAGTTCCACTTGGTGAAACCGTAGAATACCAAAACCGGACCCCCCCTATTCGAAACCAGACGATGGGGATTCCGGAGGTGGCTTCTGCTTGTAACGGAGCTTCTATGTTCCATCGTCGTGAAGATGCCCCATTCCTACTCTATTGCCATTCTTGTCCAGGAACTAGATGGAGATGACCTTCTTCGGATCGATCAGGTCCTTTTGAGACTGGTGAAGCTCGGTTATCTGGATAGCGGCTTGCGCTATGCGAGGATCCTGTCAAGAGATTAGTCACCATGATGCGAAATGGAGGCTCTAGCCCGGGGGGAGGGGGGATTCCATGGGAAGCCAACAAAGTACAACATACGCGTGCTTCTTGTTCCTAGCAATACTCGTCGACAAGTGTCGAGTGCGTCTAGTCCTTGAGGTCACTCAACGTAGTCTTTCCAACATAGGAGATGAATAGCAGATAACAGTTGCCATAGTGGGAGACATTGCGCAAGTCAAGACAAATATCAATTCACGAGGAGAGAAACCGGTCAGGTCAGAAGACTGCAGGACAGACTGGTTAGACTTTCTCAAGAGAATACATGGGAGATTGCGGTGGGACCTCTGATCAGCCGTAGACTTCTAACGCCTTGATATAGCCCCGATCAGTGGCTAGCTTGCTTTTTCTGGGCGCTTGTATTATGACAGCGCGGATAGATAGGACGAGGCTGGCGCTAAGCCAAGAGATTTTATCTGTAGCGATATTAATGTCCGCAGAAAGCAGGGTAAACCAAGCATGAATCTATAGTCAATATAACAAGGAAGCATGTTTCGGTAAAACATCAGAATAACCACGGGTCCTCGAGCAGCTGCTTCGCTGTCTTGCGTTCCTCTGGTAGCCACTTCAGCATTGACATCATGAATCGAATGAACTCCGCCTTCTCTTCCCCTGCGAGTCGCTTTTCTAGGCTCCCTAAGGAGATCATTGGCACAACTGCTTCTTCATGGGCAACCCAGGCGCCTGGCAAAATATGTCAGGTGGACAACTTCAATTGGGACCGCAAGCTAGAAGGAACTTACCACTAGGGTCAAAACACTGTTCGGTCGTTTCACTGCGGCGAATGAATTCCTCTGGCGGCGGCCCCATCAAGGCGACCATACGTGCCAGATGCCTGAACGGGTCGTGGCCGCCTTTGGCATCGAAAATATCTTCGAACAAATGCTCCCCTTCGAAAAGGTCCCATATCTGCCAACTGACATCAGCACGCTGAGATGTTAATAGCTGCATAACCTGGCCCGGACTTACCAAGCATGCCAGGTTCCAGATATCGACGGCGCTTCCCCAGGGCATTTCGAAGATGATCTCTGGCGCCCGATAGATGTGCGGTTGAACAAAGGGCCCGGACTCCTGCTGAGTCTCCCCAAAATCACACAGATTGGGAGTCCATAACTTTTACATGCAGACGGTCGACGGAATCGCCGACTCTGGTAGATGACACGCGACTCATCAATCTGCTTCCGAGGGCTGGGATCCTCGGCTTCGGCTGTCGCAAAGTCCGCCAGCATGCCCTCGTCCTCGAGACTAAGCATTAGGTTGTCCGTCTTTATGTCTGATAGTGAGTTAGGAGTAGGCAGTCTGGCTTCGTATGGGGGGTGAAGGGGGTGATCGGTGCGCACTACATACCAGTGTGGATGACATTGGCTTCGGTGTGTAAGAAGTCCAGGGCCAGAAGCAGACGCTTCACCGTCATTTTGAGAAGAGGCAGGTTGAATGGCTTGGGATTAAGCCCCATCATCTCTAACAAGGTCATAGGCATTGGCTGTAGCACTAGGCAGCGGTGTTGTCCGGCAGGTCCGTGAAGATCGAAGGAATCATAAAGCTCGTCGGATCAGCGCTTGGCCTGGATGCGTAGAATTGACTCTGGCTAGATGCTCATAGATCTTAAGCTCGCGACCTGATGCGGTCGGAACTGATGGCAGCGATGTAGACACCTTCAACACTTCATACCGGTCGTTCCTGGGTGTATATTGAGCTGTTAAGTGCCTGCACGGTCACTGGGAGAAGGGTCGTTCGTCAGAACGCACTGGAGATCCCGGCATAGCCAGCTTGTGGAATACGCCCCATAACCGAGCTTACCGGTAATCTGATACCGGGTCTCGTTTACGTCGCCAATCCTAACGGGATAGTAATGCTCAGGTTTATAGTAGGCCAACGTCTCCTCTTCGACGGGCGTGTCAAGAGACAGAGTAGTATATGAGATCTTGGATAATCTTCGTGAAGAAGATGGTGATGACGATGATAGCCTTTGCCGAAGGGAGCTGCCCCATGCACTAAATCGTCCTGCCATGCCTGAATAACAATGTTGTCCAGTGAGCTAGCGACTTTGTCGAGGATTGAGAGATTGAGAGACTGAGAGACTGAGAGATTGAGAGATTGAGAGATTGAGAGATTGAGAGAATGGAAGTGGATATTGGTGCTATTCTTGAAACTCATCAGGGAGAAACAGGAGTGTAGATTAAGCAAGTTAGCTAGATAGCTTATCGTCACGTGGAATCAGCTCCTTCCCCAGGAACGGCCCGTATATTCGTATATTCCTTATCTTTAGTACAAAATGTGGAGGTGCTCAACAACTGGGTCAGCCAGTGATAAATGGCTGTCACATTAGCGGCAAGTGGTCTACAACGGATTGAGTAGCATGTAAGACTGTCTTTTGTTGCACTGGTGCATGGGGAGCACAAGATGGTAAACTTAAGTGGTGGCTGCGGCAAGCTTAGGCTGTGCATCACTGCATAACTAGCTTAGTCATAGCATGACGCAAGCACTCAGAGACGATCGGTCGGTCGGTCGGAAGTCAGCAGGCAGCAGGCAGCAACAAAATACATTTACAGGGCTACGCAACATTGAAGGAATAAGATGATAAGATATAGCCATCATACAGGCTCTCCGTTAATAGTGATTAAGGTTTTCACGCTAGTTTACAGTAAATCTCTTCAACGGCGCTTGCCCTGAAGCGAAGACGTCAACGTCTTGCTGGCGCTACCTGAACTCCATGAACTCCGTAGACCCCGTTGGTGTAGAAGTTTCCCATGATGATGATGATGATGCCTGCGCCGTCCATGCTGCGCGGATTTCAAACCCTTCAAGATTCGTTTGCGTCGTCCCGGCTTTTCGAGTAGATCTATCGTCCAAGCTAGGGTTAATAAGGACTCCCAGCTCCATCGAGCTTCGCCGACACCGCCAGCGGGTCGGTCTTGGGGAGAGAACTTCTGATTAGCAGCCAGCTGCAAGGCCCTGCCCGTCGCATCGCGTAGTGGACGCGCCAAGGCTGGGTTGCACGCTAGAAGTCTGGCAAGAAGCTTCGTCCGGAAGACCGTGGGGCGGGTCGATGCCGTCGAAGTTGACAGAGTCGGGGTCGAAATTAACCATAGAATCAAATGGAAATGCTGATAGATCTCCTCCGTCGAGAAGGTCAAACGCGAACCCGTCTTCAAGGACTGAAGAATCCGACCCAGCGGGTGAATCACCGCTGAATAGGCGGTTGAAGTCGTCGTCAGAAAGAGGAGCTGCAAGGTCATCTGCAGCGTGAGGTTCCACGTTTGAGCCGAGCTCAAACAGCGAGAGGGCGCTTCCATCTCCTTCGAGGCCAGCGACTGACACTGCAGGTCGCACAACACCGCTGCAGGATGTTGTGTCAAGTCGGAGGACTCAGCCAGAGTGGAAGGCCGAAGAGTGGGGGAGTAGTCGGTGTAAGGAGAGGTCGGGAAGGGGATTCGGTCGAGGGGGAGTTCGTCGCGCTCCTGCTTGAACAGGGTCGGCGTAAGGGTGGGAGAGGCCGAAGCAGGGGAGCCGGGCTTGGGAGTGTTGCCACGGGAACCCCTGACCTCGGCAGACAGTTGAGCGACTTGTTGGTTCAGGCGGTTGTTTTCGGCTTCCATCTGGGTCAAGCGCTGAAGAAGGAACTGGTTCTGTTGCTCCATCTGGATTTTCTCGTTTTCTAGTTTCTCCATCTCGAGGCGCTTGCGCTCTCGAGAGGTTTGTGCGGCAGCCCGATTCCGAAGAACACGCTCGATGCGGCGCTGCTCCTTTTCGTCCTCCGTCTTGGCCCGTTTCCTAGATTCGTACGTTAGTATCATCATGCTTCATTCGATACTTCGGACACCCTTGCATGGAAGAACATACCTTGGAGGAAGGTTGGTCTTAGGGACTGGCAACTCCTGGCCCCATGACTTTCTCTTCTTCGCAGGCTTCTTGTCCTCCGACTTAATTTCGGCCTTGACGGTGGGATCATTCAAGGAAGTGTCCGCTGGGGAGACGGTGAGCATGGGAATTTCCGGAGCCGGCGAACCAGCCAAGGATTCCACTGGAGAGAAACCGCCTTCCATCTTGCAAAGGCGATATGTTGATCTGTCTAATCGTAGACTGTATGGGTCACGAAAGTAAGGTGATGCTCAATGCTCAGGAAGGCGTAGCTCGATCACGTCTCTTTTTTTTTGCCCAGGTCACAGGGACAGAGGCCACGGTGGCATCACGGTACAAGCCGGGTCTGGGGGAGGGGCCAGGTGGTTGACCAGCAACGTTCTGGTTGGTTGGACCCAAAACGGAAGCTGGGGAGGAAATGAGAAGAGGACAACTGTCCACAAAGGTAGCGAAAGTAATAAGATGGAGAGGGTTGACTGCTTTCAGATCAGACAGTCTGGGAGAGGGAAAGATTGCCTCTTTAAAAGGCCAGCGTGGTCAGTTGAGGGTCAGTTGAGGGGGCGTCTCCTTTTCGCAAGGGGGCGGAGTCTCCCTTCGTCAGCCCAGTACTCGTACTGTATTGTAAGATATGTGGTATTTGACTCATGCTCAGCAGGAATGTACCTTAGGGACGATGTTTGGGGCCGTATGGAGCCGTATGGAGCCGTATGATACCGTAAGCATTACCTACAAAGCCAGGCTGGAATGGGAGGCGGTACCAATTGAATTCCCCCTGAAGCTGTGAACTCGAGCAACTTGAGGGACTGGGGGGAAACTCGTACCCCTCTCGACTCCTCTTTCCTTCATCCACTTTCCCATTCCCTTTCAACCTGCGACACGCTCCGGTCGAGATTGTGGAACCCTCTTCCGGCCCCCCCCCCTCTTCATCATCGGTGATCGGGATATCTGATTGCTCTACCCTCCAGGTTTGGCCCCGCCCCCCCTCTCCCCCCTCCCCTCCCCAAATGCCATTTTTATCCCTGCTCCGGACGGTCCTGAGATTCTCTGCCCTTTGGCCCGCTCCGCCTCGCTGACGAGAGCTGCCGTTGCGAATCAGTAAGACATGCTTGCTGACTCTGATGCTCCTTAGCGCCTCCGCAGGTTCGTATTCGCTCGCATCGCTTCTCATTGACTCGACTACGCCATCGTTATTCTTACTATTGAGATTCCATCTTTCGCTTTGTCCAGTGCACCCGAGACGTTCCACGGTTACGCTCTGAAAGAACCGGGCAGAAAGTGGGAAACACCTCAGCTCAGTGGTGCTAATGGCGTGATCTGGGAGACGCATGAACGCAGATCTCCACCGGGCCGTACTAATGACTCCCCCTGTCTGGGCTCGGCCGTTGCAACTTCCGTGGTGAATGCAGTCTAGCCAATTCTTCGAGCTTCTGCGCCCGAGAGACTCTATCATTGGTGGATCATGGATCACACTCTCCTCTCCGCCATGCTCCCCCTCCTCCCCCCCTGATTCAACTTGCCTGGATTTTTGGATCTCAATCAACATGCACAAAGGAGATATCCCCTCTCCGCAATTTATCGTCGGAGATTATTGTGAGCTATTTAGGGGCATTCTTTGGGGATTCTTCCATGACAAGGGGTGCGTTCGTGTGCAGTCTGCGAATAAGATCATGGACTAAGCACCGCGCTACCTCTCAATTGAGTGATTGATGCTCACATCTGGTGGTTGATTGACGGCCGGTCACGTTCCTGCAGCCGTTTCTCGCGTGCTGAGAAGGATCAAGAGGTTCACCTTATTCTTCCTTCCTCAGCTATGTGCCGGCTCATGGATCACATGACCTCTATCTTCGGCTTTTGTTGACAGGACATTAGCGCATGCCGCTCTCCCACAGGGCTCACTCATCAAGCCCCCTATTGCATTCCCTTCCCCTTGGGATTGCACCGTATATTATATTTACCTTGGGATGCTCAGCTCGCCCCTTCTTTGTTGAACACCATGCCACAAATATCCTGCGAACCTCTCGGGTCCCATCAACAAAACTCGATCCAACATCGACTTTATTCAGTCGATGTTCCTGGCCCGCAATGCCCCCGCATGTCTCGATATATATAGCTAGACAGATCCCTAGAAGATCTCTGGCGATCATCCGCATTATTCGCGTTTGATCGACTACGTTACGTGTGCTGCCAGTGCCATGCATTCATAACAGTGTCCGTCTCAGTGAAGTTTCAGCTTGAGGAGCGGTGCCATAGCACTGCCTACGCGATTCGCCTCCTCCCACGTCGTCAACTCCGAGGCTGCACGAATGGGGGAGGAACATTCGGTGATGTTATACCCTTTAGGAATTTCCCCAACGCAGGCACTCGTATTCCCGACAGCGGCCTCGCGTTCCGCTTGGCGGCTCGTATTCTTACATCAACGCGAGCATGATGTCCGCTTCATGACTTCCACACTTTTAACGTGTCATGGGGCATCCATTTCGCGATTTCATGCTTGCGCACGGCGGGCAAACGTATAACAAGCGTGCACGAACCGTCTCTGCGATATCGACCGTGGCGTGTGTTGAGGTTTCATACGTTGTCAGCTCGTCCGCTGCGGGGGTACTCTCCAGTTAGCAGATTTCTCTCGTTTGGATAGAGGTTGGGTCTCAGGATAACCCATTCTTCCACACGTAGTCTATTTCAGCGCATTGTTAGTTGCTCTGGTTCTTCCTACTATTTCTGAAGTACGGTACATTGCCATGTACTCGTAGATAGGCGTAGCCCGCAAAGCAGATTGGCCATTGTCGGAAAGAATGGACTCGGTCAGACGAATTCAGGTATACGATACAGTCCAGTGACCACTTCACTGCGACAAACTTTCCACCATAATAAAGCATGTGGTGCACTCTAACCTGTCGATGGAATTCGAAGTTACCTTGACTTCGTTCATCCGGAAATCCTCATCTTCTGCCAGACGAGGTTGAGGACTAGGCTGTGGATGCACATTATGTATAGTTCATCTTCTTGCTAATGCCCCGTATAAGTGACTACATGCGACTACGACATTTAGAGAGTTGTCATTTCTTGCTCAGATTGTGCATTGTCCAATCCAGAATCCTTACAATATTACCTTGGCGGATGCATGTAGCGGATATATACCTTCACCTCTGGATTGGGCTGATCTGGGCTACATTTCTCAAGTATTTTAACATAAACCAGGTACACAATAACATCTGAAGAATGAAGAGACTTAAAATATCAAGTATTTCGCCTGTTCCAACCCGCAATATACTCGACACCAATCTCCACTCAGTAGACAAGCCTCGAGCTCAGCACTTCCATTCGACCAAGACCTTATGCCGCAACATGACTAATCAATACACACAATCACCTTGTTCCAACTCGACTATTGTGACTGTGCGGGGCATTTTGGCCTAAAGGTTCATGCTGTCATAGATATTGATGTTTGCCAACGACCTGCTGCATTTTCTGAAAGCGTCGAGTCATGACCATGTCATGCTTGGAATCGTGTTGAAGCGATAGAAACTCCTTTCATTCCTTGCCGCATCTTACGACCCGCTACATAAGCATGACATGCGCCGAGCCCATAAAGAATTTACACCACGCAACGCATGAGACCGCAAACCGAAAACAGAGGTTCCGCGTTGCCCCTCTTGAGCCATGTCGTCCAGTGGATGACGGCGATGCGGCGAGTTGTGAAGGAGTAGGCGATGTTGCAAATGCAGGCTACTATTGTGAGTATGAGAATTGCTTTGTTGATGTTACACGACCCTTCGGCACCACCGAAGGCAAAGACATCGGAGGAAGCGGTAGTTCCGTCGGCTTAATAGTGGATCGAGAAGTTGGCAGGGGGCTTGTCCGATGTGTACTCCGTACAGTAGTATAGATAGAGCTCTGATGGCGAGCTGGCCCCAGGCACGTTGAGAATGGTCAGAGCTCCATTCTATTTTCGTAGAACCGTAGGATCAATGCAATGCTGTCCTTGGCCGAGCCATGACTCGAGACTGGTCCTGCCAGATCAACCGTATACCACCGCTCGGGAAGCCAGAACATGGGCGCCATGGCGCAGGCAAATGGCCCGTATAGTTCGGAATAGTCATCCTCTTATGCAGCCGGCGGCACTAATTGCCGCGGACTCGGATGGGCGATAAGCTCGGACGGGCTGGGGCCGTTCTAGAAATTGGAAATAGGGGGCTGCATTGCTCGAGTTTTTCCCACTCTCGGACAATAGATCTCAATAGTTAGTCTTCGATCTACTCCATAGTCTGACGCGAAAGAGGGAACTTTGGGACCCAATTGGACGTATAAGCCTCTCGATGATCAGTGCAGTCGAATCAGGCATCTATGCATGGGCATGAAGCTTTTCCCGGTAAACAGGGATAGAGAAGGGGCGCTTCTCTGCAAAAATAGAATTGACGACGACCAGAGATGATGATATTCATGACGCGGCGAGAATCAATCATAGTTTTTTGCAGGTGGAATGGTGGAACAAAACTCGCAAGCCACCAGCGCTTCCAGAGAGTGAGAGATTCTAGACTATCCTATCACGTGATGCGAAGGGGACTCGACTCCGCGATACCTCCCCGATTGGGGAACCCAACAACTTGCACTACACTTCCAATTCTCGCGAGTCGCCACCATCCACCATCCTCATTTCCCTCTTTCAATCTCCCCCCCCCCCCCCACCCAGCTTAGTTTATCCAACTAACCCGGCATTGCGCGGTCGGAACTCAATTCACAAATCAGAATTTATCCACTGATCATGGTCATCATCCGGCAAATCCTACACTCCCCATTGGAGGGAGCCCTGGTGCCTCACTGCGACATGCAGTGCTCATTTCCTCCTGCACAAGGTGCACCACTGCACAAGGGGGCTTCAAGCCACCCGCAGGCGAGGCGCGACTGTGGTGAAACCGCTGTGTGCTGTTGTCATCTAACCGCAAGCCCGGTGGGGTCGATCAAGCCACAGCCAGTCCTGCTTCCGAAGACCATGCCGACCACCACAATGAAGACAGTATTAACGATGATAAGGGAAGACGGTCGATCCGAGACGATATTGCGAAACGGACCAGGGTGATAGACAAACCGACAGACACACACACACACAGAAACAGAGGGGTGATGAGCTGTCAGTCACCCGTTTTGGCTGATCATTCTACGGCTCCGGTGCCTGTCTTGGTTCCTATTCACTCATAGTCTTCGGCTGGGATCCACCGCGGCCATTTTCTCCCCCCCCCTCCAAGGCACGCTTTCTTTGCCAATCACTTTATCAATATTTCCCGGATGAAGTCATGAGCGGAGAGGGAGGGTAAGACATTCACAGACTGTCAGTCGATATCCCACCGCTATCTCCACACGATTGTCGCTCTCTAAACAGTCGATCAGCTTTAAAAAGCTTTCCAAACCAACTTCGCTTTGCCTGACCGGACTCTAGACCATCGAGGATTCCAGACTTATTTTTGGTTCCGCCGTCCACGCCGTTGTTTTCTTTGGGTTCCTCGCGCACTCCACCCACTGGTCGGCCGGTTCCACGCTTCAAAAGCTTTTTTGCCTTTTTCCCTTTTTTCTCCGGCTACCCCCTTGTCCTTCTCCAGTTTTTCTCTCCTCTTGACGTTTTTCGTTCCGTTTGTGCCTGGTGGCTGTTCTTGTGTCTCGTGGATCTGCATCTTCCCTCTTCCCTCTCTGTTCATATCTTCCCTCCCGTACATACTTTACTTCATACTGCACATACCCGATAGAGATCCCGGTCCTTGCAGCAGGCTGCTTGGACTATTCAAATGTCCGAACCACACCGGGAAGGTGCCTCCTATGAGCTGCTAGATCGCGAGAACAGCTTCGAGGGTCACGATGCGGTAGCTCACAATCCCAGCCCCCAGACCACCCCCAATTCTCCTACCTTCCCTGAAGAGGGGACCTCTGCACCACCTCCCAGCGACACTCCGCACGAGACGTCAACGACGAGGCCGACTCGAGTCCGATTCCGCTCAGTGAGCAATCATGGCGAGAGTGCACCGCAGCGGCCGCCTATGCCCCGAGCAGACTCCGATTATTCCGTCCGCTCGCTTCAATCCGTCCATTCTATGATGCCCACATCAGAATCCGCCGATCTTACCGAGTACTTCCCCGGCGATGGAGAGCCTGGACCCGAGATCGAAGCAGGCGTCGAGCAATCGGCACACCGACGCGCCTCCCCACCTACCGACGGCGACACTACCAAGTCTTCCATCGAGAAGGAGGAGCAACCCGCGCATCCGATGTCCGCTCGAGACCGCTGGAAGCACGCCAGCAAACTGCTTCGTCAGAAGACCGTCAACCTGGGTGAACGCTTGGGTAGACCCTCGGACGACGACGGTGGTGACCTCGGCGCCGCCATGCTACCCGATGATTTGGAGAGAGGACTTGGACCAGCACCGCCGCGCCGTGGAGAAGAGGAAAAGGATCCGTTTGATATTCACAACCGCGATCGCGACGAAACACCGCCGCCACCCAGCGCAGAGGCCCATAGACTGGTGCGCAGCATGACCCAGCATCACTTGCGCAACCGCAAACCTAAGTCTGCTTACGCACGCTCCGGAACCAGCACGCCCGATGAATCGAGTCGACCGGACTCCTGGTATGGGGGTGCCACCCCGCCCCGCCCTGGTGCGGGCGGCGGTGGTATTCTCTCGCAGTTGCTGAAGCTCCATGCCGCGCAGGCGAAAGATAACATGTCCGTCACGGACTCGTCCGACAACGAATCGGTGGCCTCGTCGGGGACCGCTACCCCGCGCCGGGACTTTTCGTCAGGGACGGCGACTCCCAAGAAGGAGAAGCTGAAATGGTACAAGAAATCGAATCATCACTCCACCGCCTCGCTGGTGTCCGCATCGATGAACCTCAGTCGGGCGAGTCTGCCGGCGTCTGCCGATACGCTGGTGATGCTGCCGCAACCACCGAAGAAGGGGAAGAAGAAGTCGCGCAAAACTCGGCTGGAGGACGAAATCCGCGTCACCGTGCATATCGCCGAAATCCTGGCCCGGCAGCGTTACATCATGCAGCTGTGCCGGGCGCTAATGCGGTACGGCGCCCCCACCCACCGTCTCGAGGAGTACATGCAAATGACGGCCCGAGTCCTGGAAGTCGAAGGTCAGTTCTTGTATCTGCCGGGATGTATGATCATGTCCTTTGACGATCCGACCACCCGCACCGCCGAGGTCAAGTTGGTCCGAGTCGTGCAGGGGGTGGACCTGGGCCGGTTGGCGGAAACGCACAACGTGTACAAGAATGTCGTCCATGATCTTATTGGCGTGGAGGAGGCGATTCAGGAATTGGATTTCATTATGAAGCGACCTCCCCGGTTCAACAAGTGGATTCTCGTGCTGGCCTACGGGTTGGCCAGCTGTGCGGTCGGTCCATTCGCCTTCGAAGCCCGCCCGATCGACATGCCCATCATCTTCTTCCTGGGCAGCCTCGTCGGACTCATGCAGCACGTCCTGGCCCCGCGCTCCGTTCTGTACTCCAACGTGTTCGAGGTCACCGCCGCCATCCTGACCTCCTTCCTTGCCCGCGCCTTCGGGTCCATTCACCGCGGCAAGAATGCCGACGGCTCTCTGAATTACATCTTCTGCTTCTCCGCGCTGGCGCAGTCTTCCATCGCTCTCATCCTCCCAGGATTTATGGTTCTCTGCAGTAGTTTGGAACTGCAGTCCCACCAGATGATCGCCGGCTCCATCCGCATGGTCTACTCGATCATCTACTCGCTGTTCCTCGGCTACGGTATCACGGTCGGAACGACCATTTACGGACTGATCGACGGTGCGGCCAGCTCGACGACCACGTGCCCGAACCAGGATGTCTACGGCAGCAAGTACACGCAGCACTTTGTCTTCGTCCCGATCTACGTCATCTTCCTCGCTATCATCAACCAGGGCAAGTGGAAGCAGGTGCCGGTCATGATCGTCATCGCCACCTGCGGCTACGTGACCAATTACTTCAGCACGCTTAAACTCGGCTCCAGCTCGGAGGTCGCCAACACCGTCGGCGCCTTCACGATCGGTCTGCTGGGCAACCTGTACAGTCGCCTGTGGCACGGCCACGCCGCCACGGCCATCCTGCCCGGTATCTTCGTGCTGGTGCCCTCCGGCCTCGCCTCCTCGGGTTCCTTGCTGTCAGGTATCGAATACGCCGACGAGGTGCGCGAAAACCTAAAGAACGGGACCAGCGCCAGCAGCACGACCTCGGACGCCAGTATCTCCAGCCTTGGTTTCGGTATGATCCAGGTGGCGATCGGTATTACGGTGGGATTATTTGTGTCTGCCTTGATTGTGTACCCCTTCGGCAAGCGTCGGAGTGGATTGTTCAGTTTCTAAAAAATCGCACCTTGCGTGCCTCTCTATACCCCCTCTTTGTCCTGTTTCCTTCTCCGTCAGTCTCCAGTATTGTTTCTTGTCTCGTACAAAGTCTGATCAATCCCCCTCATCATTCTTGTATTTATGTGGCCCCTTCTTCTCTGATTTGTTGATGTTATCCATGTTTGCATGTTTGCATGTGTTTATGAAGTGCATTTAAGCAGGCTTTGCATTTTCCTCCCCTCTTGCCTTGTTGTTGATATCTTTTCTCTTCTCGATTCTAGATGGTTTGCTTTAATTTTCGGGGTGATATTCTAATGTTGCTGTGTCACGAGGATGTTCGGCCAGATGGGGAGAAAGAGCAATTTACTGGTTTAGATTGTTCCAGATACTTTCTATTTTCTAGATTTATGTGTTGGCATCTAGAGCTATACCTATTCTTTCGTTTTGAAACTATACATTATTCGATTTTTTGTTTATATCATGTTTGATTGGGATCTTTTCCTGGGATCTGATTTTATCTTTGGGACTTCTTATCTGAAGAATCGTAAATGTAAAAGTAAACGAAACGTAATGGTGCGTTATGATCACGGCCATAGCGAGCGGTCGCGACCGTCTCCTTACCCCGTGGCTTTCGATCTTGGAGGTCGCGTTGCAGCGGGAGAGCTGAAATAAGCTTGATCATTGCGATCCAGAGGCCTCGCCTATTTTCACTAGTGTGTAAGCTGTTCACCTACGTGGCGATGGGGTTTATCATAAAAAAGGAAGAATCAAGGCTTGGAGCGTTCCTTCAGCACCACCAATTAGCTGTAGACATATTCCGGCCTGCACTCTGTATACGATAAGGGGAGAATCTATTTGCTAGTACCCAGTTCTCGAAACGGCCTGTGTGCCGAGGAAAAAGTGTCCCAATGGAAAGTTATTAAGGCCAGGCGAGGAAGAAAGACGATTTGATAAACCCCGCAAGAGGAAATAGCTCAATGAGTCTAAATGTGCTGATATGCAATTAGATGCGATGATTCCAGTGATAACCACAATGCTTTCCGATAGAACACACGGTCCAAATGTTGGGGACCTCACCAGGCCCCGACTCTCCATACTCCCGTGCACACCTCTTTGAGAGTCGGATAGTGAGGCTCGTAGGTCCGGAGCAGTGCGCGGCCGACTGCTCAAGCCCAGCGGTCGCCGTGGTTCCAGGTGTCCGAGAGCAGGCCGGCGTCGCCCAATGAGCCCTCCACCGCGACACTCTCCGTCACGGGAGCAGGTTGGCTGGATAGATTCGATGCGCTTTGAGACGGGGTATCTATTGCAACAGAAACACGAAAGACTCGTCAGCATCCTGAACAATGTTCAGTATCACCCCATCCCCAAAGTCAAAGAGCTTACCAGTAGATCCGGCCCCCGGCCCACTGCCACGGCCACTGCCACGGCCAGCTGCCATCTCCGCTCGCCGCTGGCCTTCAGGATAATACCTCCCACCGGGATGGAGAGTCTGCGAAGTCTGAAAAGTGTGGGAAACCGCGAATCAGAAAAGAGAAGTTTTCGAACAACACGGAAATGATGTTTGTGTGTGTGTGTGGCCTTGTCTGCAATCATACCGGCGAAGGGGGCAGTATTCCACAATCTGTATACTGTACATTGCTGCCGGCCCATCTGATAATCTTTTTTTTTGGTGTGTGTTGCTTGCTCTTCGCGCGCCTCCCTCGTGTTTCCCCTCCCCAAAAATGTAATTGTTTGGCCCCACCCGACATGATAAATACAAGAACAGAATTCACGAACTGGTACTACTGACTTCTTGAAATTCTTCCCCCTTGATCTCCACCTCGCGATCCCGGATGCGCCGCATCAGCGCCAGGAAGTTACTCTCCCGGAACTTCTGGCTGGTGTCGTGCTTGAGACTGTCGACGAGCTGGCCGGCCGTGCGCGCGAGCGCGTCGGCGTCGTGGGCTTGCGCTTGGGGGTCGGTGCTCTTCTCCGTGGGCGGGATGGTGTCGGAGCCGATCTTGATTTGCTCGATCGGGGCCTGTTCTTCGGTTGTGAGGTCGGCGGCGGTGTCTTGTTGAGGCGTGGTGGTTGTTTCTTCTGCGGCGACGGTCTCGGTCGCCGTCTCTTGGGATGATGCTATCGCTGCGCTGGCCTGCGCGAAGGCGGCCTCGAAGGCGGATTCGTCGAAGGTTGCGGTTGGTGGTGCTGCTGTTGTTGTTGTTGGTGCTGCTGAGGATAGTTGGGGAGCGGGTGTCGCGTGCCGGGGGTGGAATCTCAGGAGGTGCATTCTTCTGTCCCCGCGCCTGAATGAGGATTCGAAGTCTTCGGTGTGAGCGAGTGGGCGATCTTGTTGCATCGTGGGCTGTTGTTGATGTTGGTGCTGAAGAAACTCATTGTGCCAGCCCTGTTGGGAGACGGTGGGGAGCGGCGCATGCGATACGTTAAGTTGCTGATGGTGTACTGCCGATGGGCCCGCGATGTTCAGTCTTTGAAAGTCGGTCGCCCAATTCGGCGATTCTGCGGGACCGGCGAGGGGGAATTGAGGCGCGGGGGCGGCGAAATGAGCCGGATGTTGGAGATCGCGAAGTGGTGCAGGCGCGAGATTGGACTCGAAAGCAGCGAACTCGGGGTCAAGGACGCCTGTGCTGGGATTGTGATTTCGGAACCCCTGACAACGACGACGTTAGTAAAGTGAGCTTGGCTCGGAGGGGCAAAAGGCTCCATACCTGAGAGGGTGCCTGCCGTGAAGTCAACCTATCCTGCTGAAGGGTCCGATCGGTCGAGGCATGTTTCTGAAAGTTCTGAAGCGCGTTCGAGGGTCCACAGAGAGCGTCACTCATGATGTCGACCGAGGTTGTGCCTGCTTGGGCACTGGGAGAAGCCAGATAAGGCGCGTTTGAATCTGGAGTGGTTGAATTGGCTTAGACGACGAGAAATGTCTTTTGAAAAAAATATAAGAATCAACTAGATCTATGCAGTGAAGCTCTCCTGCTGTGGCAAGTGTCTGACCTCAATGTTGCAAGAACAGCGCACAGGCTTCATGGCAGACAGGCGAGTCCGGAGTAGAAAAGAGATAAGATGGCGGGCGTGGACGGTGGGGTAAGGTTCATCATGGATGCCGAGGCCCCCCTCTCACGTGCCATCCGCTTATGTCATTCGCCCGGTTCTCGGTCGCCAGGATTGTCTTGCTAAACCCGGTATAGCGTTCCGTTTCCTATCAGTTCCAGCTTGTCTCGGCTACTTGAGTCAATTTGAAGGTACTACTAGGTACCAGTAGGTAGGTACCTTCGACTTTTTTTCAGAGACTGGAGGCTGAATCAGTCTCGAATCTAAAGGGTATATTGTTAGTGAGACCGACGATGGCACGTGCAGTGCCACTGTTAGGCTACCTTGTGTTGAAAGTAATAATCACGTGGCCTTCTCCACCTTCAGTGCATTCACCGAGGCAAATGACTTATGCTGCTGAATCAGCAAGTGCAAGTGTATAAGCTGAATAGTGTTCATCCTTGCCCCGATTTCAATTGCGATCAACATGGAGAAGCGGTGAGGCGGTGAGGCGCTCGCCGCTCGGATTCAGTCGGGAATTCAACAAAGCACAAAGATTCGTTCCTGAGTCACTCCGAAGTCGCCACTCCGCCGCCGATGACTCTGATGGCAACTGATGGCAAACAGTACGCTGCTACATGGCTCGGTGGACTTGCCTGTACGCGATCTTACACATGCTGCTAGGAAGGCGGCTCCATTTACTTGATCAATTTGCTTTTTTCTTTTTTTTACGGAGAAGGCTCTTTGAAGGTGCGGATCACTGGACAAAATATTCCAAGTGATAGTCAAATGGTATATTCTATAATTCGTGACGTTCGTGCCCAAAACAAATGCAAAATGTCTAGCATGCATGCAGAAGAATCCAACCAAATGTCGATATATGCAGTCGTCTATGAGTGAGATTATAATGTGTGGTGTCGGTGCCCGACGGCACGTCTTCCCGGTCGCGTTTGGCTGCACTCCAGCGGTGGATAAAGGCGTTGGGTCTGAGTGGAAAACCGGCTCGTCGGTTGTGGGGGTGAGATTAGGTTGCAAATCTTCTCAGATTGCCGCCAAAAGCTCATCGAGCGGTATGCGCGACTTCAAAGAATGATCATGCTGCAGGAGGTGCTGCAGGACACGCTGGTGGCGCACTGCAGCAGCATGCGAGTCCGATGAGTTGTTGTCGCAGATGGTCGAGGTATGTGCATAATGTTGTACTGAGCACCTTGCCCAATTGTAGGCATATTTCAGCCACTGGCACATGCGATGGGGACGGCAGGGGCTTGAGCCAAGCCCTTGTGGTACCGATCTGCAAGCTCCTCGCACACGGCCCAGATACGCCGACGGTTTGCGACCCCAATGAGGTTCGCATCGTCCATTCCGTACCGCGCGGTGGTCATTTTGTCCAGCCAAAGATACAGCTGCTTGTAGTTGACCTCGTCGGTCAGCTTTTGTCCCTTGCTGGCCTGCAACTCCCAGAACCAGGGCATATCCCACTGCATAAATTTCTTCCAGAAAAGATTGTCCTGAGTAACGAGGTGAACGCTCAAAGAGGCCTGAGCAAGAGATTTCAAGTCGTCGCCAGGGAGGAACATGCAAATCTGATGTACGAGCTCGACCGGGAGTTTGCCGAACGGACTGGCGGGGCATCGTTCACGAAGGTCAATCTCAGCAGAGGCGATTTTAAGCTTGCTGTTCGATTCCATGTTTGTTTGAATATATGCAGGGAGTGCGGGGGTGTCCGTTGGGTGGGTTGCGCAGTACTATGGAGAAGACAATTAGTGGGATAATTGGAATACGAAGACTAGAAAATTCTCTTACCTCCACGCCTGGGATACACTCCCAATAGCGCCCTTGAGCGCGCTGAATATCCTCTCCATAGCTCAAATCCAACGCGGAGCTCTTCATGTTGCAAAGAGGACTCATGACATTGTAGAGAACGTCCAGGTTGACCTTCTTGGTGTCCGTGGAGCCGGTAAGGGCGTGTGTGAGAATTTCGAAGCAGCACCAGTGGAAGGGAAGGACGGGGCCAGGCGCCTCGTCCGAACCTTGGCCGTAGCACGAGTAGACTTTCTGGCTGGATCGGCTCGAGTTGGAGCCAGTCTTTACAACCAGCTCCCCAACATCTGCGTAATATCCTTCATCCGAGAGAAATGCCTTGGCCGAGCCCGCAGCAGCGTTCTGGTTCATACCGAGACAGTGTGCTTTGTAGAGCCAGGAGATGTTCTCCCACGCAACAATGCGAGGGTCGTAACTGCGAACAGGATTTGCGTCTTCTTCGCTATCGCGTGGCAGCTGAGCGAGGTTTTCCCCAGCCCGGAGGGCCCGACAACGCTTCTCGATCCATCGGCGGCGGCGTTCCAGCGCCTCCTCCGACGGGGGTTCAATGTGCATGCCACAGAACCCAACACCACAAATGGCACAGTAGCAGTCGAAGGCCATGGTGATGCGACTTGTATGGGTGTGTGAAAAGGAGAGAAACAACAATGCAAAGAGATGTAGAGTCGATTCATGGGAGCGAGTGGAGGAGGCGAGCTACTACTTATAAGAAAGGATGGAACTACCGATTGATTATCGAGACGGGGCCCACCGCGGGCTCGGAAGGGGCCAAACACAGGCCGCAATCAGGGGCAGAACCGCCGTTTAGCGACCCCATTCGGCAGCTCCAGAAATCTCTGCGCCGACGATCAGACGACCTAAAAATACTAACTGTGATAAATTCAATCCGTCGACACCGATACTGTCAATCAGCAATGTGGTTGGTGAACTGTTTACTCCATCCAAGTCGCTATTGCCGCTGCCTCTGGGGGCAACGGTGAGTTGGCAAAAAGGATGGGACGCGAATTGCAGTAGCTGCAGGCCATTGCTCCACCGGGCACGGGTGAGAGAGAGAGAGAGAGAGAGAGAGAGAACAGTCAGTTAGACAGGCATACTGAGATAGGCGATGTTTCCACCAGCTTCTCAGTGATGATTCCCGGGACTTCCTAATCTTTCTCGGGAGTGCAAAAATAGGCATGGATATATTGACATATATGAAATCCGGAGAGGTCACGCAGGCCTGTTAGCGGCAATTAGTGAGCTTAGTCTGCCGCCACGCATCCGGACTTTACTGGAGACGGCTAACCTTAAATTGTGCACTGAGGAGTCCGAAAAGGCGGTGATGGGAGACTGCCAGCCAGTTGCCCGCAGTGCCCGCCGGAGGAATGGGAGCTGCTGCACCTGGCACCATGGGGTTGTGTGCTGTGTGCTGTGTGCCGCTAAAAGATGGACACAATGCTCATTGCTGGAGCCATTGATGAACACCCCCCCTGATGGCGATCCATAAGCAGTATGCGAGAGAACCATGGCATGATTGATGCGTTGTTGGCTGATCCGATCAGGAACTGAAGGAGTGAGTGGATGAGGTGATGAGGAAGGAAGGGAGAGCCACCTCGAAATTTCCTCTTCCGGGCCGAGTGGGTCAGGCACTTTTGGAGACCCCGTGACCTTTCAAGTTGCCACCCCGCATCAACTTTCCTCCTGGGCCGGGCCAGACCCGTCCAGAAGCCTTTCTCCCTCCTTCCACTCTTCCACTCTTCCACTCTTCCACTTTTCCACATTTTCCCACCTCGGCAACTCAGCTCAGCTGTCACACTTGCCAGCCAGATAACACCCAGCCCTGACAGGGCAGGGGCACACTGCAGCGGCAACGTGGAGGACCACCGGAATTTTCCCCAGTCGTACGATATAGTCTGATTCCTGACACTACATCTCATACATCCCTGCTACCTATATACGTACCTTCCCGATTATCCCATGACAGATTCTCGTATCGTCGAAACTCGTAGCAAGGATTGGCGCAGCCACATTCTGGACGACTGTCATCCAGAGGAGGTAATCGGGGTTGGTGCGGGGAGGATCGGTTCCAGCCATGGAATAACCTCACCATCTTGTCCACCGATGACGCAATGAGATAGATAGAAGCTTGCAGAATCCATTCACATTTGATACCAGGTTATAGGGTAAAGCCATGAGGATTCTATTTGCACCTTCAAGGACTGCTTCCATTGGAACATGACAGCATGACGTGGTGCTAACTAAGTGATACGCTTCTCGTTCGAGAACCATCTACTTAGACTTCTTAGATAAGAGAAACCTCAAACCGGCTTGCGACAACATTGACCCATATCTAAAGCAAGGCACCACCATGCACGAGCGCCATTGCAATTAGTGGAAATTTTCTCATGGATCTCAAATACCTCGATGATATCTCCCGGATGGACTGGCAACTGGGCCTCGGGGAGTGACGAATCCCAGGAACTCACCCGCTTGCCCAGGGAACAGAGTTGAAGAAGAATTGAGATCTCCTTCTCCAAACAAAAGAGAACAGGCGGGTTACTCTCTGTCAGAGGCTTAAAACGAAAGTTTTCTAGACTATAAAGACCACGCACAAACCATCCTCTCTTGTCTAAGTGTGCAGTTCATCAAACATGTTCCGAGTGATTCCCTTCTATGATATCCGCCCCAGACGCAACAAGCAAGATGACCAACTCCACCATGTATACCAATTTGCTCGATGGAGGCCCTCGTCCTCCACATGGATACTTCTTCACTTTCAAGATATGTGAAGCGGGCGATCCGGAGGCTACGGACTGGGAATTCTATGAGGAGAAACTGGAGCTCAAATTCTTCAATGAGCGGCTCGCTCGCCCGGAGGCGGGCCCGTTCTTTGGCTGTTTACTGTCGGGCAGTCATGCTCAGTTTTATAAAGAAGTAGCCTGTGATGAGTATAGTCAGTTCCACGTTATTTGTAAGTGCGAGCTCGAAGGCAAGCTCACACTTCACGTAGTCAAAGATAGATGGCTGATTGACTTGTGGGGACAGTTTGTGGTGGAGCCCGTGCTGGGACGTACAGGCTTCGATCGAGTCATTCATGAGATCTGCGCCATCAGATAGAGGATTCTTTATATTGCGTAACCAACACAGCTTAACTATAAATATATAAAAACAGCCTTGATACCTGAACCAAGATTGTCTCTGTCGATAGACAAGATTAATGCCCTGTATATGTTTTTCATGCATTGCTGAAATGTCTAATCTAATCGTTTTGATCGTTTTTCTTCTCTGATGAGCCATGGCAGGATCCTCTGCGGCATGGGGCTCATATTGTACTGCACGGCATGACTTTTGCTATCTACTCCTCTCGCCGCACGACAGAGCTTCATGGCCCTGGGGTTGAGGGTTTATCTTATTGATTGAGTCCCTGCATAGCGAACGGTAGCGCTAATGGCGACTAGAGTAGTTAGATTGAGAGTAATTACGCTATTTTTATATTTTGTAACCATTTTCAATGAGCTTGTGTTCAACGATGCTGTGCAAAGCTTGAGCAGGGAGATGCAATGTCCTGATTATAGAAAACGATGAGACCTTTGTCAAGATTTGTGACGATGATCGAATCTAGAAGGGCCTTCTCGGTTCAGGTATCAGTGATGAGCGGCTGCGTAGTGTGCGTGTCAATCCCGTTTTTGTTGACTTATAACAATCCCCGTATCGTGGACAAGCATGAAGTCTCGGGAAAGAGTCTACGAGTTAGAGGCCATACCATAAAAGAGCATTGGTCCTCTGAAGTCGCCCCTCCATAAGACCTTTGTGTGAGTGATCAGTATCGGTGGCACAACTCGAGTATGCATCCATGCTCGTCTTTGTCAACTTGCCATGCTAGAACTGAAAAAACCTGGACGTTGAGAATGGGTACAATAGAGCTAACGGTGGGTAAGCATCGAAATCAATGCCTGACCGCGTGACACTAGGTGTCATCTGTGCCTGCCTCGAAGCTGGGGTCCATCCCGAGTTCAGGGTTTCATCGATTGTGGAGTAGGCGACGGAAGACGGAACAGAGACCTGCCGTGGGGAAAGTGAGTGAAGTGACCGGGCAAACAGTGGTACCCGGACTATGGGGCATTTGGGGCCGCTATTGTAAGTCCCCTAGCGCATGAGAAGGGAAAGAGTCAACCGTAAATTGGATGGTACGGAGCGGATGGTACGCAGGCATGGAAAGAGATTTGACAACAGACAAAGAGAAAACATCTCCCCGCGGGATGTTTGAATGAATTTTCTCAGCTTATGAGGGCTGAAGATCTCCTTCACCTGACGAATCATTTTGGTTTAGCCAAGATGGAGAATAAAGAAACTGTCGTGACGCTACACTTAGAGTTCGATTCCATGTTCGATTATTGCACGCTCAATCCCGTTCGTCGCGTGGCTCACGTTGCGTTTCGAAGCATGAAGTTCTAAAACCAAGTGTATTCAAATGGCTCTCTTCAATGAAAAATTGAATCTCTAATCTACGGTAGATTTGTCTATGGGTGGAGGAAGCTGCACCACAGGGAGCTCAGGGCACGTGACTCAGATGGATTGAGGATTAAATTAGAAACCTCACGTCAGTACTCATCTCTACTTAGGCCTGAGGCCATAATGGCTCTAGATTGTCAATTACCATAAGCAGCTGAAAGTTTGTGTGGTTCATGCATTGTTGCTGGGGGCTCGCATTCTTCCCAGCCGCAACATGCCAGTGCCCGAAACCTTCCTGGCTCTTTGGCATCTACGAATGACGGATGAGCAAAGCATGGTGCAAACCTGCAGTCAAGACGAGGTGTTAGCGTAATATGATTCCAACACAGTCGAGGAGCTACTCTATAGGGAAGGAGAATCCCCATGACGCTTAGACTGGATATATTTTGTCCGTCACTTGGTCATCTCTAGGTACTACACTTAGCTGGCTCTCCACACACCCTTTAAGCCATTCAGTGTCCATTATGTCACCCATCATTCGAACCCACTTACTTGGAACCAATACAAACTTCTACCAAACAATAGAAAGCGGATTTGTCACCCTCGCACTGGGGCCTATGATTGCGCAGCTGATCTACGTGGAAGCTGTTTCTGGTATAGTCAGGGTAGCATTCCAGCGGGTGGCCATTGGGGAACCCGAGCCCTGGCACTAAAATGAGAGGCCTCCAGCCACCAGGGTCTTTGGGCACAATGATTGGCAGTGACAGGAGGTGCGCAAGCCGTGGGTCTGTTTGTCTAGTCGATCATGGTGGGTGGGCCAGAGTGAAGTGCAGTCCATCCTGTGCCCATTTGCTGAGGCCACATTCCTCACCCATCTTTAGATCTCGAGGAATGTATGCAGAAACCCAGAGGCTGGAGGCCATCGCGACAATTCAAATAGGAGCATTGCTCTGTTGTTTGATAGCTTTGTTTTCTTTGCATCCTGTGCACTGTTTTCTTTGATTGTCAGTTTGTCAAACCGTGCCTACAGCTCAAACATTCTACCAAACATCCAGCTTCACTCACTTCTTCGACTGTTTGCCAAAACCCTACCTACCAAACCAACCAAACACCACATACATACATACCAGCCATTCTGAACAGCTTATCGGCACCTTATCCGGGGATTTCCTTCTTGCTCCAGACTTTTCCCTCCCGCTGAGCTTAATTGTCAGTCAAAATCTAATCGTTCCAGCGGGTTTTGTTGGGTCCATCTGGCAGCTTCCCTGACCTCGATTTCCGCAAACGGAAGGGGTTTCTCCGACTTGACTCGACACAATGTTCGCCCAGCCTTTGGATCACACTTTCAATGATTTATTCAACCAGTACGTCAATGTGGACACTTCTTGTGTCGATGGCAACAAAGACGTTTCATTCCCCGGCGATCTTGACCAACTATTTCAACTGGATTCATTGTCAAGCGACTGTGGCGACCTCTCACCCACCATCCCCACATCCAAGCAACAGCATCCATCCGTGCAGTCGTGGAGCCGGGACTTCTGGTGTCTGGCACAGGACACCGATGTATCTGCAGGCCAAGGTCATCATTTCTCTTTAGAGGACACCATCCATCCCTCGGCAGTCTCAGATCTCAGCATCACTCTTGAAGCTCCCTCAGTCGCCTATACCGCAGACACCCGCACGTCCCCGTCTACTCCTCCGGCCACGCCCAATCGCAAAGTTAAGAGTGCGCTTGTCACTCCCAAGTCGATCCGCCGTCATCGTGATTCCAATGACCGTCGCGCTTTACTCCGCAAGCAAAGCTTTTCGCCCAGCTTAACGCGCTCATCTCAAATCCAACGAAGCAGGATGGCCTACCCCGAAGCATGGGCACAGCGATTCCAGGATTTCGCCTTCCGTAGCTCCGAAGCTCAGTTACCTTTGTCACCACCACCATCCGACATCCTCGTTCAACAAGAAAACATGGCTGCCGATCAGGTCGGTATGCCTATGGCGCGCTCAGCAGAAGTGCTGCCTCGGGAACCAGAAATGTCTACCCACTATGAGCCCAGCATGTTCACTCAATCTTCTGCCATCACAATGCCTTCCCCATCGGCTGGCGCATTGGCAAGACAACAACAACGTTTCCTGAGTCAATCGAATAGCTCCACGCTGAGCACATCAAGCCCGCCTTCCGCCGACCACATCTTCTCTTCCCCGCTGTCGTCCGACCCTCAATCAATGTCCTCGTGGCAATCCGACTCTCTTGCCTCTAGCTTGCCGTACACCCCCGAATTGCAGACCCACGATGCTCAGACGTGGTGGTCACCGATGACGTCCCGGACCGCCCCGCGGCAACCCTCCTACCAACAACTTATCGCCTCGCCTTGCCCTCAGCGGCCGACTCAAAGCTCTACAAATCAACAAGACATGCTACAGGGAGGTCTCATGATCCAGTTGGATCCCTCCTCATTCGACCTCTCTCAACCACAAAGTCACTCATACCCGCCATCTGGCATGCAATCCACTGCCAGCGGCGAACAAAGCCGCTCATACAGTCACGGCTCCTCTAGCATCCAGCAGTCCGTGGAATCGTCGTCCTTCACCACACCGCAACTACAAAGTACCTCACGCTCCCCATCGTTGTCCCCGGGAAGCGGATCGCCTCCGACAGGCAGACCGATTTTACAATGTCAAGGAGGCATCAAAACCCCTCGCCGTCATAGCAACGGCCGCAAACTATCAGGCAATTCCATGAGCGCTCCCAAACCAGCTACAAAAGTCACCAGCTCGGGCAGTCCCCGCGGCAAGGCCGTCACCGTCTCCTTCGTGAACTTCACTGCCAATGACAGCAAGAAGATTCTTACCGGTGTGGCTCCCAGCGGCAGCTCGAAGACGAAGGCGCGACGAGAACAAGAAGCCCGCGACCGACGGCGCAAGTTGAGTGAGGCCGCGCTGAATGCCGTGCGCAATGCTGGGGGCGACGTTGAAGCTCTAGAAGCTATCCTATGCTAATAATCTTTGAACCTTCTCTCTATGCTTTTTAATCATTATTATACCTTTGTTGCGAATTTCTTTTTGCGTGGTTCAGTGCATCGGTCGTTCTTGGAGTTTGGGATTTTACATTTCACGGGTTGGAATCTAAAAAAGCGTTAGATCCACGGCGTTTGGGTTACAACAATTAGAATTAATGTATCATTAGTGGGGCTCAGATCTTTCAGAATAATTCAACCATCTAAACTACTTAATCACTTTCCAACTTCAAATTTTCCTCTTTTTGCATGTATCCCTGTATCGAGCATCTATGGAAGCTTTACGAGTGTCAATCCGTCTCTACATCAGACGTCAGCAAGCACCGGGGAACGTCAAGAGGCCAGTGACATGGTCAAGCCTTTGTCACGACATCTCCGCCTTCTCCGGAGTCTGGGTATGTACCTCCACTGGGGGTATTTAGTGGTTGCCAGTCAGATTGCTGGCCGAGGGTACCAGTAATGGATCCAGTGACATCCGCTGGGCTGGGGCCACCACGGCGCCCACCGACCGGGTCCTGCCGGGAGTGGGTTTTTGGGCGATCATCCCCAACGCTGCGTCCCAGGGTATGCTATTGCTCACAGTTTTACTCAGGTTGGATGACGTCCCTCGCCCCGGGGTCCCCGGGGTCATCCCCGCCGTCATGCCAATGAGTCTTGTACTTTGAAAGATCTCTCCCCGGGACCACCCAGACCTGCCCCCACAGCTTCCAATATGTGCTTTTTACGGTGATGCGCATCGCAAAACACGAGAATTTCGGATCGACCTTCTAAATTCCGCAGTCAGCTAGAAGTGAAGTTCTAAATGGCAATTGTCTGGTTCCCAAACGATGTCCATGTACCACAGAAGAAGCACATAGTCCAAGACCCCCCGTCCGGGGAGGAGAGAAGATCCCCCTCTCTCGTTCACGCCCCTAAGAGAAACATGAGCTGCAGTATCTTGGACTCCAAATCGGTCCAGATTTTCGGGTTCTCTGGTTCGCTTGTCTCGAGCGGGGGAATACTTCCGCTGTGGTGAAGTTCGGGTGGTGACGGCATGGGGGAACCGTAGACCATGCCCCGGGGGCCTGGTGGGTTGAAAATTGGAGGGGGAGGGGGAGGGGGAGGGGGAGATGTGTCACTTTGGAACTGCACTGGAGAATAGAATACCTCTGGGAGATTGGGCAAGATTGGATTGCTTGCGTTTGTGTAGGGTAAAATGGGGATGTTGGGCCTTTTGACCAGCTCGTATAGTTGCAAATAACGGGACATGGATGACCTACGCACTGTGCAGAAAGGATTGTGTGCGGATGCTTCGGGAAAGCGCCGTCGAGTGGGTAAGCAGATGGATTCCGATCTGAGCTGGATAGTGGCGAAGAGAATGAGGACTTCAAGAGCGAATTTTGCGGAAAGGTATGAGCAATTCTGGAGAGACTTGTTTCCCTCAGACAATGGAAGAGACCACCAGTTCTTGAACAGAAAGAGTACAAGGGAGTAAGTAATCTAAAGCTACTGTCCTGATCGATGGGTCTTCTGGGATTAGGGCTTAGTGCTGCCGGGTATTAGATCCGTGGGTTTCCGCAGTCGTCCATCCTATAAGTTACTGCACAGTCTATGCTCTTCTAAACAATACTGTGCCGCAAACAAGGGGTTGAGTTGGAAGGGTGTTAATCAGAGGGAAAAGAACACTTGAAAGGAGAATAGAGTCATTTGTACCCCACAATCTGATAATCATGTCTGTAGCTTGATAGCTACTAGTATCTCATCCCACCGGCTGACCCAACACCCACAGCATTCTTTACTGTCCATCCCACCGGATAACTCTTCCATCCCACCGCTGCTGACTATTTGATGACGTGATCGAGAACAACCCCTAACAAATGAGAGGATGGGGTGAGTGTCAAGTCACCTCGGCTTTTCCCCTCAGGGCCCCGGCCCCAAGCCAGCCCCGCCAAGATGCGAGCCCCTCTTGTTTACAGGACTGTACAATAAATATCTCCTCACCCCTCCACCACATCGCAACAATCGTAGCACTGTATCCAGCTCTTCTCCATCAATCTTCATCACCTTAGGTCATTCATTCACCACTCATACATCTTCTCAACCCAAACCCAAGCAACAAAAATGTCCCCCCTCTCCTTCCGCGAACACATCAACCTCCCGCCCTCAACCGCCACCCTCCACGACTCCACCCTCATCATCATCGACGCGCAGAACGAATACGCCACCGGCAAGCTGCAAGTGTACAACGTGGCCCAATCCCGCGCCGCCATCGCCGACCTCCTCGCCCGGTACCGCGCCGCCGGCGCCCAGCAGAACATCGTCCACGTTTTGCACCGCACGCCCGCGGGCGCCCCGCTCTTCACGCCGGAGACCCCGCTCGCCGAGGAGTTCGAGGAGCTGCAACCCCGCCCCGGCGAGAAGGTCATCTTCAAGCATTTTCCCAGCTGCTTTGCGCAGACGGAGCTGCACGAGCACCTGGCGGGGCTGGGGGCGGTGGGCAAAAAGATCGTGCTCGTCGGGTATATGGCGCATGTGTGTGTGTCGACGACGGCCCGCGCGGGCCATGAGCTCGGGTATGAGGTGTTGGTTGTGAAGGAGGCGGTGGGCGATCGGGCGATTCCTGGTGTCGAGGCGGACACGCTGGTGGATGTCGCGCTGTATGAGATTGGGGACGTTTTTGGGACGGTCCTCGCTTCAGGGAAGGAGATTGGGGAGTGAGAGAGGTTTATTTCTTTGGTAAGGGGTTGGATGGTGGGATGTGGGGGGTCGAGGATGGGTCTCGTTTATGTTAAGTGGAAGTGACATGAGGTATACAGTTTGGGTTTAAATTGGAGAATTGCTTTGTGCTCAGCACAGAGCGTAGACAGGCGGATCGCAGCCGGTGGCTAGCTCGTAGCAAGGTGCTGCCAACCCAAAAAGCCGAGATTGATGCTGCACCTGACCATCTAATATCCTGTCTGCTACTGGCAGTGTGCATTGCCCTGAGTCGTCCATCACTTCACTGGGATCCAGAAGTCTAGCATGACTCGTGTGCCTCTCATACGGTGGAGGCGGACACGTACCGTACTCCAGAACCCTTTCGCAAACGCTCCCATCCGGCCCTATAACCCGAGGAGTCATGTAGATGGAAAACGGGATACTGATCGCAATCTACTACCATTGTCAACCTCTTTGCTCTCGTTCTCACCAGAGGAGACAAACATACCGTATCGAACAACCGCCCGTTCCGATCCCGAAACTCCGCGCGGACCTCGAAAGCATGGTCGATCGCGACCATCTTCGTCCGCACGCTCTGCGAGCACAGGCTCACGCTCCGCGGCAGCGCCACTCGCGAGCTCACAGCCCACTCCGTGCCGGTGCAACTGACGGATCCACTTCCCCCAACGGGTGACTGTGTTTCTTTGAACAGGGAGTGGGTCCTCGAAGCGCTGACGGACAGGATATTCAGCGCTGCTTGTGCGGCGGTCGCATTCAGACGGATGTGGTGGCTTTCGATCACCTCTAATGTTAGGGCTGAGAGGTCGACGTCCTTGGATGGCGCCTGGAATCCCATGTCCACGGAGAAGATGGACCCGAAGGGGATGGTCCGGCTGGGGATCGAGATGCAGTATTCGATATTCTGAGCTGATTCGCCTCCAATCGTCTGTATAGGGCTCTTTTAGCCTAGTGAGACTTGCATATGGAAAGGGAGATGGGGCGTTACCAGTGGAGATTCCGCGGACAGCGGACATAGCTCCACTTCAGGGAGCTTGTAGATACTCAGGGCTTGCGACACGACAATATCTCTCCATACTCGGCGCTCAACGATGGCTTCGATGTGATATGTATGGTAGTTGTGATCGGGGCCGACGGATGTCTCAAAGAGATCGCTCGGGATCGGAATGTCAAATAAAAATTCATATTTCCCCACTGGGATTTGGAAGGAGCTGTGTGTTTTGGACGAGACGAGCCCTTGTTCTTCCTTGTAGGTGATGAGTTCTCGGTCTTCGGTGATCATTTCATTGTTTCGTTTTCTTCACAAGCAAACGAGGTTAGAAAACAAAAACAGCGGCTAGAGTTTGAGGTTGGGAGAAAAATGTTTTACATTTTTAACCGACCGACAAGTCTGACTTTGATGGTTTTGGCCCATATGGCTTCAGGCAGGGAAAGGAAGAGTTTCCCTGTCGCGGAGGGCATGCTTCCAGTAAAGTGACTTGTTGGAAGGAAGATGCATGACTTATCCAGTCTACTCGAAGGTGCTATTAGGGCAGTACTCGATGGACTGACGCGGTGCGACCGACATACCTAAGGTCATAACGTGCTTTCTGCGTGCGAAGCATTATTGGATTTGAACGAAGAGTCTATTAACTGAATTATCAGAGTGATAGTTTCTCAGTCAGCATGGAGAATTTCTTGTTCTGAAGCCCACTGGGTTGGTTTCATTTGTTTTTCTTATACTGTCTGCTGGTGAGCGGACTTGCCTAATTGGGGTCGGAGCACCGAATTCCACTCATGCAATGAATCCGCCTTGCTTTGAAAGTAATATGAGAAATAACCTGACAGCTTTAATATCTCGTTGGATATAACCTCTACACAAGCGCATTACTATCATCATGACACATGGATGTAAATTACATCCCACTGCTGGAATTCCGTTACTCCCACACCAAGCGCTTGACCATCTACTCTCCATCAACGCCAACACTATTGGTCACCGAGCCGAAGATCTCCAAAGCATGACCGAGATAATCTTGGACACCTCGCACCCGAGGAGTCATATCACTACCTAGAGGCAGAAGCTTCTCATTCTGATGGCTTTCCCCAACCCCCTCGCCGACAATAACCTCATACAAAGCCTGCATGGCCTTGTCCTTGTCACCGTTCGGTTTGAGCTTCCCGTCTACCAGTATTCTCTGGATATGTTCCACCACCGTTCCCTTATAATTTTCCGGCAGGGGCAACTTTCCCAGAACCACCGAGTTCGGCATATTCGTGTTGAAAGTCCCGAGCACCACCGTCAAGGTGCGGATATTGAACGGAGCGACCTCCTTAGCCAGGATCTTGGTAAGTGCTGACCAGAAACCACATTTAGCAAATGCACCTCGACGAAGCAGCAACCTCCTCGCACAGTTATAGTACATACCATCCAGTCCCGCCTTTGCGCCCGCGTACACCCCCATGGTGGGGGTGCCGTCCAGCGAGGCCCCGCTGCTCATGTTGACGATCACGCCCGACTTGCGCCGACGCATATGGGGCAGCACGGCCCGGATGAGACGCAAGGGGCCGAAGTACATGGTCTCCATCTGCGCTCGCACCTCCCCCTCGGCGAAGATCTCGATCGGGGCGTAAATGCAGTAGCCGGCGTTGTTGACCAGAATGTCGATGTGGTCCCCGCTGTGTTCGAGCTCGGTGATGATGTCGCCGCTTGTGCGACTGTCCACGTCCAGCTGGACCCATTTCCCGCCTGCAGACTCGATCTCAGTAACGAGGTCAGGGGTTCGCGAGGGATTGCGGGAGGTCGCGATGACTCGATGTCCGCCGGCTTGGGCGGCGCGGGCCAGCGAGAGGCCGAAGCCGGAGGAGCAGCCGGTTATGAGCCAGGTGAGTCTGGTGGTTGTCATGATGAATGTTAGGATGGTGATGTTGATGATGAATGACAAGAATCAGAATATCAGCAGATCTTTCTGCCTTTTAAATATCACGCTCCGGGGATAGCGCTGCAATGAGGCCGTGGGAATAGTTACAGTACTCACTAAGTCCGCGGACTTGTCGTACCTAAACCCCGGATAACTCCCTGCTTGCTGCAGTCTACTCGATGGGTGTCCACGCATTTTGTCAGTCGTATGACACGCATGAGGTTAATGAGTTGGCCTTACTGGCACATCTTATTGAGGCTATTTGAGCGGCTCGAGTGGGAGTATTTCTCCAAGATTTACATGATTCAATCGTCTGTTCACTCGGCTAATATTCTCAAAATCCCTTTGCGTTGCTCAAGTGCTTGATACTCAGGTGCAATCATGACAACAGACTATCAACAAATGGACACTTTGACCGAGTGGTTAAGGTGCTGGCCTGCTAAGCCAGTGGGTTCGCCCGCGTGAGTTCGAATCTCACAGGTGTCGCATATTCTTTTTTCTTTTTTTTCCGCTTCCGAGCCCACGTATACTCAACCCTATCTTCCCTAGCCTGGGTCCTTCGCTGGATCGCCCATTTTGCACTAGATAAATCTCATTTACGAGTCTGCGTCAAATCATCAAAGGTGTGAAGCTGGAGTTAGTGGTCAAAGTTAAACAAGCGGCCGACTTATAATACCGAATAAAGCACTGCAATATCATTGCCAAATAAATAGTCCATAACAGTGACAGCAATTCTTCCAGTGGAATTCTAATTATAGAGACACTCTTACGCTGACCCATCACAGCCCCACTGCGAATATTGCCTGACTGAATGCTTCACCCCATGCGCATCCTGCTCCCGCAACACAACCCGAGACATACCACCTTGTCTAATAGCTGTCCGGAAAGAAGACATCCCATGAGCTGGCCTAAGGTCTTGACTTGGAGAGACCCTATCCTTCTTCCGATCAACCGTTGCGTTCATCACCGCCTGGTTCCAGATCTGATCGGCAGCAGTGAAAGGACACTCGAAGCTCCACTCTGCTCGAATTTGCACGTCGTGTTGCTCGGGCATGGCGTCTGGCTCTGCGGATGTCCTGTGAAACACCACCTCGACAGACCCGCCGTAGGCGATGCTGCGTGCTAGACGTTCGATATGAGATTTGAATGCCGTGGAACTACCATCAGGGAAGAATGCTCATTTGTGAAGCGTCCAGCTGGAACCAAGCTGGGGCTTAATTTTAGAAGAAATATAGTACTGGGCTAGGTGAGCATACCTTGATCCAGTTGGACTTTCACGCAGCCAGCCAGCTACTATCTCCTCAAATATGGAGCCGTCCTGATCGTTGGACTTCTCCCATGCCCGACAGCCACTTGCATTGGTCGTCACGAGTTGCCCTGATCTGATTCCTACTACCTTCGTACAGTCAATCCAGAGATCAAAATCGATAGCTTTGCATTGATCGTTCGTCATGTGCGTTCCAAGGATTTGTATGGAAGCTTTGGGCGGAGACTTTAACTGCTCCGTCAAAGAAGATATGCGGTTGTCTGACGTGGAAGCCATTTCTGCGATTGGCGATCATATAGAGCCTCGATAAACAGGGAGGTAGACATAGGCAGGACACGATGTGCGAAGTGTGTCCCTTTTAAGTCATTGATTGAGCTGGAGCCGAGACAATCTGCGTCATAGTGCATTCTAGTTGAAGTGAATCTGGCCACACCGACGACATAGTCTCTCAATCTGCCAGCGGCCATTCGACCTCACTGGCCAGGATGCTGCTCACCGCCCGTCGCACCCATGTCGAGAGCCTCACATAGCTGAATTCATGACTCATCTTCGTTCTTGAGACAGTTGGGCACTGGCCAATGGTTTCTAGAATCAGACCAATATTATACTTGGCTAGGAACCACGAAGCACAAGCTGTTCTGTCCAAAAAGTCCCGGTGATAGAAAGGCGATCATTCCTTCAATTGTAATCCATGATATCTGTAGGGTTGCTACCGCTGGCGGATATTGTAACTTTCGGCATGACGATGTACGACGCACTGAAGCTCTGCTTGGATGTTTTCCGAGGCAGCTTGTTCAAGAGCAGTAATCCTGGCGCAGATCTCGTGAACGATCTATAACGTTGATAGTGCTTCATAACGCTGCACACGAGATTATCATGAGATAGCGTCGATGTTGCTGCTTGAGAGATGCGCCGATTCAGACTGTCACGACAGCTTGAGCCAGAGACTGCTACGGCTGGCTGCAAAGAATGATCATGACCAGTGTTGAAGCGGCTGTTGCTGCCACTCTTGCTGCTACTGCTGCTGCTACTGCTACACCAGTGCGCTGACTTCGAGACGGAGAATGACCCTGATCGCCGGACACTGTTTGGGTGGGCTTTCGAGAATAATGGCGAGGAAATAGTGGAGATATATCGTTTGTAAAGCGACCCACCTACTCCTAGTAGCAGCTGTGAATGCCCTGTTGTGGTTAATATTTTAGCTTGCCTCTGGGGATAGCCGCCCCCATACGCCGTCAGGGGTATTGTTATCATCGCCCTTTATTGACCCCCCCCCCAGATACCGTCATAAGAAACACCTCCCCTCCGAGGACTCTCCAACTTCCTTCCATGCCTCTTGGCGGAATGGGAGAACAGGAATTTGCCTGGACTAAATAATGTAGATAAGATATGGGGTGGACTGGTAACAGAAGGTGTTCCCAACTGGGCCGCAGATCATGTGACTGTGCCTACGATGACCATCATTCAGCTAGAGTCACTCCCTACATCTTCACGCCCACCTTTCAGCATCAAGAGGCGTTCCTTCTGCTCGCCTGGCGGATCTTCCTCACCATGCTTCTTACTGGGGCTTCAATATCTCGCCTGTCACCACGAATCTCTAGGCACTTTTTCCCTCGGCGCCCCTTGTTTCAACGCCCTGCATCACCAGTACGCGCTTGCTCACACTTAAGCTATCCACTTCTCGACACAACCAAGAAGCTCGAGGAAGAGACACTGCCATGGTACTCCGGATGAGTTCTATTCGGTGAAAATAGGCGAGGTATTCCAATCAAGGTATCAGGTGATTGGTAAATTGGGCTACGGTGGATATTCAACCGTGTGGCTGTGCAGAGACCTACAGTCAGCTTACCTCTCAACCAAGTAGCGATGTAAAAGCCAACTCACCAGTCCCTAGGATGCATGATTATATCACCCTGAAGGTCTTCGAGCGCAATTCGGCAGAAGGCCAAAGAGACGTAGAGACCTATCGTCACTTGAACACACTCGGCACAACAGATCATGCTGGTGCTAAGCTTATCCGCAAAGCGCTGGATAGCTTCCAAATCGATTTTGGATGTCTTGTTCATCCCACCTTGGGGATAAGTCTCTATGACTTCGGCGCTCAGCTCAGAGCCAAGGTACTCCCCGAAAGTATAGTCAAGTTGACCTAATACATCTCCTGCTTGCCCTTGACTACCTTCACACAGACGCTGGAATCGTCCATACAGGTATGAGTCCTCTCTATCCTACTCCCGAAAGTCTAACCGAGCTGTCTCAGATATTCAAGAAAAGAACATCATGATGGCTATCGGAGACCCTTCGATTTAGCCGATTTCGAAGAAGAGGAGAAGTCTAGTCCTAGCCCGCGGAAGTCCGTCGGCGATCGAGTCATCTATGCTTCTCAAAAGCTCAGGAAGACTACGCAACATGGTCGTCCTACGCTGTGTGATCTTGGTCAGGCTCGCCGTGGGTCAGATATCTACCATGGTGATATCCAACCATATATTTACAGGGCTCCCGAGGTGATACTGCGGATGCGAAAAGGTTGATATTTGGAATGCCGGATTGCTGGTACGTGTTCCAGTTCTTCGGACCTCTTACATTAGATAGTGGGCAATCTCCATTGCTAATAACCTGTATAGACGTGAGATCTCTTCGAACAAGGAAATTTGTTCCACGGGCGTGATTCGGACAAGAAAAGCTCGAATGCCCAGCACATCGCTGAAATAATTGCTGTCATGGGGCCACCACCAAAAGAAATGACGCAGAATAGTGTCTATGCGACCGAGTTCTTCGGTGACGAAGGTATATATGAATCGTAGCCTTCCTTCCCACAGTGTTTTGCTGATAATCAAGTAGGGAACTGGAAGGGAGCAATCGAAATCCCTTCTAGATCGAAACGCTCGAAGAAAATTTGGAGGGTGAACCACGTCTACTGTTCCTCCGATTCTTGCGCAAGGTGCTCCAATGGAAGCCCGAGGAGAGATTTTCGGCAAGAGAGCTCTTGGACGACCCTTGGTTAAGGTCACCTTAATGACCAGATTTGCTTGGAGGGTGAAGTAGAAACGACACCGTAATTTGAGTCTCGGTTGTGCTAGGCATAGGGCACATGGGATGATCTCGAGTCTTACACTGTCAAGTGAATTATTTCCACTCTACAAGCGTGAAATATGATGGTCCAATAATGCATAATGATCGAGATCACCAAACCAGCTGGTGATTTGCCTGTCGTACCTGTACTGGGAGCCTGAGTTTCCGCCAAGCATTTCAACTTCAAGGTGAGACTAGGTAAGGGCTGGCTGAAGTTGAGTACCTCAGAGAGGTGGCTATTTGTAAGACTTGCTTGGCGCGAGTTCCTCACGGAGCCATCTACAAGAGCGCGAGCCCTATTACTCCCAAAGCAGCCAGTAAGCACGATCCACCCATTACCGCCGACTGCTGCGGCGCGCCATTCGCCCCCTTGGAACAATCATCGGGCGCATTCAGACCGTCGCAGAGCCGCTGGTGCTGTGACGGCCGCCATACCCGCCGCGGTGTCCTTGTCGATGGCGATGCGACAGGGGTCCGGTGTGGCCGTCGAGTTGGCCGTCACGACGCAAGAGTCGCGGCCAGCGGAGCTGACGTCCGGAGGCAAATGCAGGGCCGTGTCGGTCACATTGATCGTGCCGAGGTAGTGAAGGATTGCGCCCAAGAGTAGTAGTGCTGGAGGACGCCCTCGTGGCCGTCGTTCTTGGCTGTCGCCTCCTCATCGCAGCTTTCCCAGCGGAGCCACCAGTCCACCGACCAGTAGCCCGTGCTGCTGAGCGTCGGGAGATAGTGATATGCAACGTTCGGGTCTGTACTGCTGGAGAGATTGGCCCAGCGCAGATCGTGGGTTAAAGGAGTGGTGGAGTTGTTGGCGTCATTGCCGTGGCGGAGGCTGTAGGAGATGCGTAGGTTGAGAAGTTCGGCGTCCTGCGGGCTCTGGACTGCAAAGACAATGGGGAGCCAGTCAGCCGGCGAATACGTTTCGTTCAGAGGGAAGATCAGGCCTACTTCGACCGCGTGGGCGATGGCGACGAGAACTCCGAGTAATCCGAGTCTCATCGCTGGAGGGAAATGTATGACAAGATTAAATCCCACACAGGGGCTTTCTGACTGTGAGAAGGAGGATAGCCGAGCAACGCAATGAGCATGACTTTCTACAAATGACGCCTTAACGCAAAAGAGATGATATAGAATAGGGGCACATCCCTGGCGCCGAGACACTGTAGCGTAGAAATTGTAGGTCAACTTAGGGCTGACTCTTGGTTCACGATCCCCTCCCTCCCGCAGTCCCTCCAGTCTCCAAGAACCAACTCCAACCACGAGATGTCAAGATAGCTTGCCAAGTATGCATGCCAAGACCACGTAATGAAAAGATGAAGCGGAGAAACTGGTCTCGCTTGGACGGCCAAGGCTGAAATTGGGGAGATCTCCAACCCTCGGTCAGATGCGAGCCCACGCCCGGAACCCAATTTCCACTTCCGGAAACTCGCCTCCGCGCCTGTCAGTCAAACCGGGCTCCCGCTCATCTCCGACAGCCCAACAACATCCCTTCACCGCAGCCCCAACATCTCAACTTCAGAAGGTCTTCATCATGCAGCTGAAGTTCTTGACCGGATATGATGGCCGAAAAATTTCACGCGAGCATCTACGGCACGCTTGTGCCTCCTGCCGTCAGAAGAAGGTGCTTTGCCTGTACAGTACCCTCATTGCTTGGTGGACAATCAGCACTGATGACGGGAATAGAAGCGATGTTTTCACCATCAATCCCGACGCATCGCACAGTCTGCACAGGTGTTATCTGACCTAGAACGAGAGGTGCAAGAGAGCCCTCATGTCTCGTCGCCACAGCACAGAACCGAACAACGACAGCCCTCACATATGTCCCCCTCCATCCCATCAACGCCAGGATCGATGACCAGCAGAGGGAACACAGACCCCGATCAATTCGCATGCGACACTAACCCTGTTGTCACTCTGTTGGATGACCCCAGATCAAGACTCCCGGAGGGTCAATCTCAGATGGGGGACGTGGGAGCGTCATTATATAACGAATGCTTCTCCCCTCCGATATCAGAGTCACAGCCTCACGGACACACAGCGAATGAATTCAAAACAAGAACCGTCCCCATGCTACCCCCAAAACCACAGCAAGAAGCCTTGATCGACATCTACTTCCACCGCCTGCACCCCTTCCTCCCCCTCCTCGACGAAGAAGAAACCCGCTCCCAGTTCGCAACCAACACCCTCCCCGCCGCCCTCCTCCAATCCATCTGCCTAACCGCCTCCAAAGACCCCCGCGCCGCGCCTTTCCTCTCCCTCAACCCCACCCCAACCCTCCTAACCCTCGAAACCTTCGCCCGACTCCTCCACGCCGACATCACAAGGAACATGCCCAAGCAGCACGAGCGCAGGATCCTAACCATCCAGATCCTCGCCCTTCTGTCGTTGCACGCCTGGGGCCCCCACGGATGCGACGAGGCCTCCCTGGCATTATCCCAGGCCGTCCACCACGCCCACACGCTGGGCCTGCACCTCGCCCCGCGGGCGGGACGAAAGCCCACCCCGACGCCACCACCCAGAACTGGAACGCTATTCTGGTGCCTCTGGAGTCTAGACCGATGGAACGCCGCCGTCAACGGCCGCCCGCTGCTGATCCACGACTACGACATGGACCAGGAGGTGCGCGACGTGCTGTCTCTCCCCATCCCCATATTCGCACCAGCGTTCCGCATCTGGTTGCGCATCGCCGAGCACCTCGGCCGGGTGATCCGATCGTACCGGCCTGTTCGGACACGGACTACCAGTTGCAGTTGCAGTGACAACTGCGAACAGGGCCCGGAGCTCTGCACCTTCGAGGAACTCGTCTCGCAGTCCGATGGCTGGGCCACCGACCCTGAACTCCTTGGTAAATAGCATCAAGTCCAACCCAACTCCACCAAACCCCCCCCCAATTCACCCATTCCTAACCCTTGAACAGAACAACTGGAACTCTACCACCACGCCGTGATCCTCCTCTCCACACACTCCCAAGGCCTACAAGGCCGCTCCCGCTCCCGCTCCACGCAGATCCGGCAGAGTCAGGCCCTGCACAGTGTGGCGGCCCTCGTCCGTCGACACCGACCCCGACCCCGACATTCCCAAATCCCGCCCATCGCGCTATCCGCGTATGCGATCGCGCTCGCCTTCTCCGTGACGTACAGCCACCTCAAGGAAGCGAGATTACCCAGCGCGCGGGCTCTGGCGCTCGAGCAGCTCGATCTGTTTCATGGGGCACTGCGGGCAGCAGCGAAGACGTGGTGGCTTGCAGCTGTTATGGCGCATTTGGGAAGGAATGCGCTGGAGCGGCTGGAGCGGGTTGCCCCCGTGGATGGTGGTGGTGGTGGTGGTGGTGGTGGGGGCGCACTCGACCCTGAAAATCAAGCCCCGGAGTATCACCATGATCTCGGTCATGCGGGTAATGCTGGTGGGGATACGCTACTACCCAGCGGTTCTACGGGGTATTTTCAAAGTGAGAGTCTCGAGGTTCAGACACCTGAGATTTCCGCGCTTCTGGAGGGCTGTTCCGCCCTGTCGGAGACGGAGTATGGGGCGTACTTTGATAGCTTTCTGCAGAATTTCCCGGATCCCGGGTTTGCGTTGCCGGGGTTCTTTCTGGGGGAGTCGGTTGTTGGCTGATAACCCTTCTTTGGGGGCATAGGGGGTTCTCGGAGGGGGAAAGTAGTTATGTCAGGATACTTGATTGACGGTTGTGAGCAACAGTGTAGACATGTGACAGTTCTATTTCAATATGTTCTGAACAAAGGGCGAGTCTTGGATGGTGGCCTTGTCGTTGAGGCTGTTCCTGGTTGAGGATCTCAGGGACAGCTGTAGTTATAACATATACACTACACACATGAGGCCAGGCAGAGTTCCAGACAGACCTACCGCTGAGATCGAAGCGGCACCTCCGTCGCAGGTACGACCGTCTCGAACCCGCCGCGCAGCTCCTCCCCACCCACCCCCCAGATCCCACTCAGATCAACCTCCTCCCCCCACGGCAGAGCATCCACGTCCACCTCCCACCCCAGCAGACACCGCAGCACCACCCCAGCCCCGGCCTTACTCATCACCTCATTCATCTCCTTGCACCGCTCGTCACAGACGCACTCCAAGCAGCCCTGCGGCGTGAGGCATTGGCAGGCCTCGATGCGCTTCACCGCTCGGCGCAGCAGCACGTCCACGAACTCGAACGCCTTGCTCGCGATGCCGGATCCGCACGGCCCGCCCTTCGCATCATAGAAGGTCAACCGCGCGGGGCGCTGCCGTGCGGGGGGCTGGAGGATCTTCTTGATTTTGGACTCGAGCTGCTTCCTCGTCTGGCCCTCGTGCGGTTGGCCTTCCTCCGCGGCTAAGCGCAGGCCGCGGCCGATTTCCTTCTTCGCGACTTTGCACTCGGTGCGGACGTCCCCAGGGGAAGAGATCACGAAGGTCGGGAGCAGCGAGAGGATGGCGTGTTCGGCGGCGTGGATGGCCGCCGCGATGTTGAGGTTGTGCGAACGGAGGATCTCCAGCGCCCGCTTGGGGATGTCCAGCCACATCCCCTTGGTGTAGATGTCGATCGGGGGGTTGTCGACTGTGACGGCGTCCAGGATGCGACCGCGTTTGTCAATCTTGAAAAACCCGTAGACAACGGCGTGGATGCGGATTGACCCAAAGAACGCGCGGCTTGGCGGGTCGGGTGACTCGGATGGAGCTTCAGTTTTGGCCGCGGCCGCGGCCGCGGCCGAAGCGGCGATGGAGAACGGATTCTGGTTGATGAACCGGATGGAGTCGGTTTCGATGGGATCGATGTCGGTGTAATCGCGTTGCATGGTGTTCCAGTCCACATGGACCCGGATGACGCGCGCGAAATGGCGATCGGGATGGAATTCTTGGACGAGGTAGGTTTGACCCTGATGGAGAAAGATGCCTCCTTCGTAGATGGTGAAGAAGGCACGCGAAGCTTCCACCTCTTCGAGAACAACGTTGCGCGAATTGGTGGTGTCGATGACGGCGAAGTGCTGGTCCTCAGTGTCCCGGATGGAAACACAGCGGGACGGCTGAGGCCGGAAGCGCTCGTGACAGTGGTAGTAACCAAGAGCATCGCGGGTGAGGCGAGTCGCGGCGAATTCGGCAAGCTGTGGTCCGAAGTAGGTGCTGTCCTCATCGGGGCGGATGGGCATCTCGAAGGCAGCACACTGAATGTGGCCTTCAAGGACCAATTCGTTGGCTAGGTCGACTTGGAGTTCGCAATTGGGCTTGGTGAACAATTCCTCGGGATTGCGCATATAGTGCTGGTCGGTGGGATAGCGATCGCCGACAAGAACCGAGAGCGAATCCTTGTTACGTCGACCTGCGCGCCCGCTCTGCTGGCGAAGATTCGAGATCGAGTAGGGGAACCCCAGAGTGATGACGGCGTCAAGGGACCCAATGTCAACTCCCAGCTCGAGAGCATTAGTGGCCACAATGCCCATCAATCGGCCCTCAAACATGTCTTTTTCAATGGCACGTCGGTCTTGCGGGCTGTAGCCACCGCGGTAGCCCATCACGAGCTTCGCAACCTCAGCGCGACCCAGATTTTGGCATTCCGTCCGCACAGCTTGCAAGAGAACTTCACACATCTTGCGGATTCGACAGAACGCGATAACCCGCGCGCCACGTAAAATGAGCTGGCAGAACAGACGTGCCGTTTCGGCGACACTGTCCCCGCGGCCGGATGTTGGGTCGTTAGGATCTTTGAAAGGCGTATTCCAGCACATAAATTCCTTGCGTCCCGATGGAGAGCCATCGAAGTCGATCAATTTCACATCTTCAACTCCAAAAATGGCCTTCATGTGCGCTTCCGGATTGGCTACTGTGGCCGAGCAGGAGATGAATCGCACCTGACGGTTACCTACAGCGGCGCAAATGCGGCGTAGGCGACGCATGATGAATGCGACATGGGATCCAAACAGTCCATTATACACGTGCAGCTCGTCGACTACAACGAACTTGAGGTTTTTCAGAAACGTACGCCAGGAGCTTTCTTGAGGCAGAATGGTGATGTGTAGCATGTCGGGATTGGTGAAGATAATACGCGCCTCATCTCGAATGTGGTTCCGTGCGGCCATGGGCGTGTCTCCGTCGTATGTCTCAACGATGGTGTCTTGGAGACCATCCAAAAACTGAAGCAGCTCCTGCATACTGCGCCGTTGGTCTTGTGCCAATGCCTTGGTGGGAAATATGTACATCCCGCGGCTAGCAGGATCTTTCTCCAGCTCATGCAACATGGGCACCTGGTAGATCAAGGATTTTCCCGAGCTAGTGGAAGTAGACACAATAACATTGTGACCATCGTATAAGTGATTGATGGCCTCTGCCTGGTGGGAATATAACTGAGTAATGCCCTTGGTATTGTACAATGCATTGACCAGATTCTGAGAGAGCTGGAAGTTGAGTTCGGCATGTATGGGAGCCTGTGCTTCAAACACTCGATGTCCCTCGGGAACAATCTGTGCCGTATACCAATCCATCTGCCGGATCTCTTCCACGATTTCCGACATGGATTTCCGGATCTTGGGGATCTGAGGGGGCGCTTTGACGGACGCCAAGGCCAACAACTCGTCGTCGTCTGGAGGAATGGGGATCCATGCATCTTTTTCCGATTCTAGTCGCATGACAGGGTCGAGTTTCTCGTCTTCGCAACGGACAAGAAACTCGTCGATCGCGTCGGTGAACTTCTTATTGCGTTTCTCGATGAGGGTTAACATCTGCTTCTGACTGTATACGGGCATTTTGAGGTCCTCGTCCTTCATTTTGCGTCTCGGCTTTGTCGGCTCTCCGGTTTTCGGGTCTCTCACTTCCCGCTTGAGATCCTGGTCAACCAACTCGAACAACAGGGTTCTGGTCGGAACGCCGTCTGTCTCAGGAAGCATGTCCCTGCCATAACCCAATTGTTTAATCTCTCGCTCCCCCGTGGTCATAAGCTCGAGTTTGGCATCGTCGACATATTCAAAGCGAACTGCTCGCGGCACGAGCACCCTAACACGAGCGATGTCCTCCACTGTCAGCTCCTGACCTTGCAACTGAGCTTGGACGGCTTGTTTGATGTTGCTGAACGTGGTCGCAAAGTGCTTTCGCGTGCAGCAGAAGGTGTAGACGAGGTTCAGGGCGCGGTGGGTGCGCGATAGCTGCTTGAAGGCGTCGGGCCACGGGGTGGCTGGAGTTCGCTTCGGGGATGCAGCGGCTCTTTTTCGCTTTTTACCCGACTGTGTCGATGCAGGTTCATCTGCAGTAGCAGGTTCAGCTGATTCTGAATTGGGAGTTGAACGATCACCGTTGCGACCCCTCTTGCCCGATCGCTGCGCTGGCGGTAGAATTGTGGTGGCGGCTTGGGTAGCCTCGGTTGGTTTAAGCTCCTCATGGGATGTTTTCCTGTCCGTTTCGGTGGAGGGACAATCCACTGGAGCTCTGGGACGGGCCATACCCGTCACTCATGGTGGGAACAGCAAGGCCAGTGCTGCGAGCGGATATTGGCTGTTGGCGCCTGCAGCAAGCAGTGCATCAGACGGGCTGAGGATTAATTTAAGATGGAGTTTACTTATTTGTTGTAGGTCTAGCGTGGAAATCCGAAATCTCGGTGTGGTCTGGGCCCGGACCGGATTTACCTTACTCCTTGAGCACTTTCGGGGATGACCAATCCGCTGGCTCAGCTGTGGTGGTTTCAGGAACTCATGCATGTCTCAAAACAGCACGTTTCTCGATGGTCAGGACCTCGACTATAATAGTATGATGCTCTCTCGGACGTGGGTGGCTGGGAGTTTATCTCATAAGCACTGCAAAAGTACTCCAGACCGGTTAGGCTGACATGGATGAGTTTGTACTGCACGGAGACAGTACCTCCTAGCCTGCCATACACCTTGCGTGATGCATGGTGACTGACGTAGGCAGATGGACATGTCGCCTGCCAACGGCAGATGCTCCTTTTGGAAAGGTTATTGGGTTATTGGGTTTTATTGTGACGATCAGGAACCAGCCACGGCAAGGCGAACCGATGGGGACTTTTTTTCGATAGTGGATCCTCCCGATTCCTTTTTTTAGGCAGGCGTCGAGTAGCACTAGCACTGTAAACACCAACCGAATTTGTTCATTCAGTTCTACTCTTCAGCATGCGATTACTGTGCCAACTGTTTTGGTTTGTTTTCAATATGAGATGAGGCTCCAGTAGCCAATGTGCGCTGGTTCGCATCGCAGTCCCAGGAATTGAAATAACGGTTATCGACCTCGTTTATCCGATAAACAACGAGTGGGGCCAGTCATTTCGGATCAACATTGTTACCGGCGGGATCAAAACCTGCGGCGTCAGGCACCCATTCACTAGTGGTACTGTAATCTGAGGGCTCTTTTTGTGGCTGCGCGGGCGGGAGGTGCAGTGCTGCAGTGCAGCAGTGCAGCAGTTCAGTGGGCTGGCCATCCACCACCTTCAAAGTCAGTCACTCTAACTAACTAGTCGGTCGGTGGTAGGCTGGCTGGTGTGTGCTTCTCCTTCTCACCTAACTTACTCATTCCCCCCTCCTTCGATCTTCCTGTTACCTGCCACCCCGTCTCTCCCTCTTCCTGTCTGTGTTGTCACTGCACGCCTGCTGCATGGCTTTCATCGTATTTCCGTGATCTTCACCTACCTGGAGTCGAGTCGGCTGGTTGTTTCGTTTACTGCCTCGGGTCCCTCTGCAGGGACTCCTGGCTTGCACTGGCCCCCCTCCCCCCGAGCCCGCCCGCGTGTTATTGCAAGTTTCATGCCCAAGCACTAATTAAACCCCAACGTGTGCCCTGTCCCTCGTTAATCGTCATCTATTGCCTTGGTTCGCTATTGCTCGCGCTCGCCGCAAAGCGATCTCTCGTGTACAACTTCAATTCGATTGATTCGATCGTGCCGTTGACTCCTATTCTCCTCCAAACTCAATTCGCTCTGGACC